TCTGAGGTCATTGGCTTCCGAGTTTCCCTGTATTTGGGGGGAACTTTTGCGTAAATATTGTGTGGCGGTTTTATTTTATTATTAAATTAGTTGGTTAGTAACATTATATAAATTCCATGTGTACAGCTTTATCATATGACACATGTACACTCTATTGCGTGCCTACCACCCTAAGCTTAATCTCCTTCCGCCACCGTATGTTTGCTCTCCTTTCCCCTCTTCACCCTCCCCCCAGCCTCTTCCCCTCTGGTGACCACCATTCTGTTGTCTGTATCTGTGAGTTTGTTTGCATTTTGTTTGCTCATTTGTTGTTTTCTGTTTTATATCTCACATGTGAATGAAATCATACAGTTCTTATCCTCTTCCATCTGACTCATGTCACTTGGCATAATGCTGAAGGTCCACCCACGCCATCACAGAGGACAGTATTCCATCTTCTTATGGCAGAGTAGTCGTCCTTGGTATGTGCGTGCAACATCTTCTTTATCCAATCATCCCTCGAAGGACACTTAGGATACTTTCATATCTTGGCTGTTGTGAATAATGCCTATGTTCATAGCAGCAATACAGTTTTTATTTTTAAATAAAGGAAATATGAAGCAGATAAGACTGCATTAACTCTGCCCATAGTGTTTCCTCGGTTGCAGAGGTCAGCAGGTGGGCGGTGACTGCAGTGGTTTTCGGGCATGGGGGCAGACATGTGTTCTCTGGGACACCCCGCAGAATGAGCAGGTAGGCATGGAGAGGACAGAGGCTTTAGTCCCTGCTCTTCTACCTACTAATAAGTCACCTTACCCTTTTGACACCCTTATGGGGTTGATATGAAGATCAAATGACGTACTAGACATGAAAGTACTTTGTTTGTGATTCTGTTCCTGTTCTCCTTGTTTGCTGAGTTATGTTTTTTTAGATTCAGTTGTTGATAGTTGTGCATTTGTTGCCCTTTTAATGTTCATAGCTTTGATCTTCTTTTTCTTAGATAAGCCGCTTTAACATTTATTATAATAAGGGCTTGGTGATGATGAACTCCTTTAGCTTTACCTTGTGTGAGAAGCACTTTATCTGTCCTTCCTTTCTAAATGATAGTTTTGCTGGATAGAGTAATCTTGGATGTAGGTTCTTTTTATCACTTTGAATACTTCTCGCCAGTCCCTTCTTGCCTACAAAGTTTCTCTTGCTGCTTTTAAGATTCTCTCTTTAGCTTTAACCTTTGGCATTTTAATTATGATGTGTCTTGGTGTGGTCCTCTTTGGGAGGACTGCTTGGGACTCTCTGTGCTTTCTGCACTTGTATGTCTATTTCCTTAACCAAAGTAGGGAAGTTTTCTTTCTTTATTTTTTTCAAATAAGTTTTTCATTTCTCACTCTTCCTCTTCTCCTTACTGGCATCCCTATGATTCAGATATTGGTATGTTTAAAGTTGTCCCAGATGTTCCTAAGCCTATTCTTGTTTTTTTTTTTTTAATTCGTTTTTCTTCCTGCTATTCTGATTGAATGTTTTTTCCTTCCTTGTGTTCCAAATCATTGGTTTGATCCTTGGCTTCATCCTCACTGCTGTTGGTTCCCTGTAGCTTTTTCTTTATTTCACTTAATGTAACCTTCGTTTCTTCCCCTATGTTTTTGCCATACTCAGTGAGTTCTTTGAATATCTTGATCACCAGTGTTTTGAACTCTGCATCTGATAGATTGGTTACCTCTGTTTTGTTTAGTTCTTTTTCTGGGGTTTTGTTCTGTTCTTTCATTTGGGCCATATTTCTTTGTCTCCTCAGTTTATCAGCCTCCCTGTGTTTGTGTCTGTGTATTAGGTTTTGTGTGTACAGACTTTGACTTTCTTTAAAAGGCACCTGTAAATTGTGTGGGGCAGAGCCTTAGGTAATCACCTGGTCACACTATTCTCAACTTATTATATCCTACTTAGTATAGTCCCTGGATTTGTAGAACTTGTAAGTATACCTGAAGGAACCTGCTCTACACAAGCCTTGTTTAAGTTCTTCATATTGTTTTAACACTTTGGAATAATGGCAAATCTTCTTTCACCTTGAAAATCAGTATTTTTATAATTTTATAAATGTGTAAATTGTTTTAGAATTTACAATATGTTTTAGCCATATGGAAATCCTTGAATAGAAGTATTGATCCCTGGGTTGGTTGTTAAACTGATCAATTATTTAGGCTAAAACTCTTCTGTAAGAACCAGCTTTGGTCATTAAAACCAACATCTACAACTTCAAAGGAAGAATGCCAGCCCTGAGTGGCACCAGTAGGTGGTGCTGACAGTCACAGAGGTCCCTCTAGTCCCTAGCACCACATCCTTTTCATTGTCTGGTTCATGTGTCTGTGCTTAGCTTTGAGTTATTTTAAGAATATTAATAGCCCATCATATCTGACAGGTACAAAAGCAGTGAGTATGTGGGAAGTGCTAGTGAGACAAGGAATATGACGATGAAAGAAAAATCAACCATAAAAAAAAAGCAAGTGGTGAGAAAACAATGCTGTGTGTGTGTATATAGATGAATAGCCCAGGTGAAGGGCTATTGCTAAGGGACAGAGAATAACTCACACAGTATGTCTGAAGTGTTGTACCCGTGCAGGTGACACTGTTCGGCCAGTGATTGGGAAGAAATACTTGGTGAGACACACATCGCTTTGGAATACATGAATTAGAAGAGCAGAGCCAGATGCCTCTCAGCCCGATGCTAATTCAGGAAACACCTGACAGCTTAGTTTGTTTGACGACATAGAGGCTGAGCACGGTGAAGGTGCGGCTGGCTGACCAAACCTCGGTCCACGGCTCTGCTGGGTGCACGGGCCCAGGTCCTTCCAAAGCCAATGGGTGGAGAGGCTCCGAGAGCAGCTAGCGTGGGTGGAGCCTGTCTACAGTGCTTGAGGAGGTTACCTGCACCTGGTTTTAAACAAAGAAGAAACAGATCCTTTTTGCAAAGGGATGATGCCCTACACATAGCTCTTCTGTCATTGAGGAAAGGGAGTGTGAGCCTGGCTTTAAAGCTCACATTCCCTAGAGTGGAGAGTGTATTCAGAGACTGCAAGAACGAGCCCTTCAAAGTTATCTGGGACTTTTGAACAGACTTAGACAAAACCTAGTGGAGCAGTTCTAACCTGTTCATAAAGAGAGGAACTGGTTACCATACCCTTCTGCCATGGATGCAGAGCAGCTCTGTATGTTCTTATAACACTAAAATAAGAAACAAGTGAGACAGAGTATGTGAGTAGCAATTGTGACACCTATAGGATTCATTACTTTGCCAGGTAATAAGCGTAAGAAATCTTTGACCTGCAGCCTCATTTTCCTATCATTATGATGCTGACCGTGGGAAAAGCATACACTCTGGCGCCAGCCAGCCGTGTGATCTCAGCAAGCCACGACGCAGCTCCTCTGAGGGTCACTTTCCTCATCCAAAGATCGGGCATGGTACTGCCCGCCCACCAGAGATGTTGCGAGAAATAAAAATAACACTCAGTAACACAGTGCCGGGTCATAGCAGGCCTCCAGTGCGTAGAAGCCGTTAGTGGAATTAGCCATAACAGCAGCGCGCATGACTAGCAGAAACGCAGCAGACAGCTTGATGAGTGTGTCGCCAGCAACTGTGGTGGCCAGTTCTAACTATCCTCTAAGGTAGACCAAACTCTTGTAACAGACCAGAAAAGTAATGGTTAAAACACAGTAGAAGTTCACCTTTCTCCCTCACAACATCCAGGACCCGAGTCTGGTGTGGGACATCCAGGACCAGACTCTGGTGCGGGAGGGCGTGGTCAGGCAGGGACTCGGGCTCTGGTGGCTGTGCCGTCTTCAGTAGTGCTAGCACAATGGCCACTGCCCTTCCAGCCCAAAGGGAGGGGAAGTTGCCGGGACACTGTCTGAAGGGAGTTTTAGGGCCCAAACAGACGTGGAAAATGCCAGTCACCACCTGCATTATTATATTGGAGATCACGTATTCCACACGGCACTCCTAACTGCTAGGGCTACCTAGGTCCTAGCACACATGCCCAGTTACTGTGGAAAAAAGAGGCAAAATTGAGGTCTCCATGCTGGTTTATCACAAAGCATAGCAAGTACCCAGAAGTAGCTCCCCTTTTCGCTCTGTGCTGAATCTTGATACCAACCTTTTTCTGAAAATAGGCAGATAATTTCTGATCTGTGCCAAAGTTCAGGGATGAGGCCTCAGGCACAAGCACAAAGTCATGGTAATATGGGTGGGGGGTGCTATCTCAGGCTGTGCAGTCCCTGCTGAGACTTGGCCCAGATTCTGCACTCAAGCCAGGGACAGGGTGACAAGGGCCTGTGTAACTGACCTGGTTTTAAGAGACTCCTGGCGTGATGTGCCAGCTCAGTCACAGTGCCAGAAAGGTTGGCACAGGGCTGGCAGGGATAGCACCAGGCAATCCAGGCGGTACATCTGGGAACCCCACTAGCAGGAGTTGCCCCTTGGGAAATCCATCTAGAGTAGCAGAAGCCCAGATACTGGGCTGGGTAACAGGGTCAGAGGAAGGAGAGGGGAGGAATGTGATCAGGCAGGGAAAGTGGGCAGGGCGCCCAGACACCAAGCTGGTATCCCAGGCATGCCTCCAGTCCTAGGTGGGGGGTAAGGCCACGCAGTTGAATGGCAGAGACTAAGCACTGCTCTGGTCTGACCTGAAACAGGGCATGGGTAGAACAGGGATTCAGAGAGGAAGCGGAGATTTAGATTAAGAACTAATGTGGACATCTAGAAGTCATCTCCAAGGCCCTGGGGCCTGCTGGGAGCAAGACACACAAACTTGCTTATCACAAGCAGAGCACCAGCTCCTGGCTCTTGGTGGCCCTGCTGCCTCCATCAGGATCTGCTCAGGAGCCCAGGTGCTGGTGGGAAATCTGGGGATCTGGTTGTGAGGGTGGGGGCAGCATTAGAGAATGTTGAAAAGAGGGAAACATTAACAGATTATTTTCTGAAACTGCACTGCAGCTCTCAAATGGTATAAAAATGTGTTTCATTTAATTTTTAGTCACCCTCCAGTTCCTCAAGAAATATTCAACAAATGTTGGCAGATTCTATCAATCGTATGAAGGCATATGGATTTCACCAGGTAAAAGATTTACATTCTGTCTTTAGGGGGCTAAATGCATAGCCATTTCCACTAATGTTTCATAAATTGGTCTGTTAGTCTCATGCAGCAGTGAAATTAAGCAGCAGAATGTGAAATCTGTCTCTAAAAGCGTGTGAACGTAGCTGTTCATCTTCGCCTGTTCATCTGGGGTTGAAAAAGTATTGAGTATCATGGAAAGAACAGATGCCAAGGCGTATCTGCTAGACTCCTCAGTGAAGATCTAAACCGGAGACGATATCCCAGGCTGCTGCAAACACTGGGGAAGACTGATTTCAGAGAGTGATAAATGAGGCACTGACTTGCCAGAAATAGTGCATTCAGACCAAGTCCCTTACGTGTTCATTGTTTCTATGAGCCTGTCCCTTTACCCTGACCAGTGTCTTGTACCACCCACATCCACTGTGCCAGAGTGTCTCCGGGCACTCAGGTCTCCCCAGCATGCAGCCAGACAGGAGATCCCCCTCTCGGGCTGAGCCCACTTCCTCCATTGTGCTAGATTGGTACCACATCATGCGTTGCTCACGATCCATGAGGCATAGACAGGCTCTCAGAAACTGTAGTGGGACTTGACCTGCAGCAAGTCTGAAAAAGCAGGGTCAGAATCGAGGCTTTAGGGGAAGGGTCCGAGTGGCCAACCACAGACCAGAGATGGGGACTGCAGCGGAGGCCGGCTCTGGGGCCTGTGTTCCCATGGACAGTACGATCAGTTCCTTGATTTCTCTGTGGGGTCATGAACTTGAATAATTCACATGTTTTAGACTTCAGGAAATCCTGGTGGAGTTTTGGAGCTGTAGTCCTGCAGGTATAATGTGTACCTTTTTCTAAAAGAGCAGCCATAGAGAAACTAAAGGGAATTTTCAGTAATGCTGCCCAGGTGTCACTTTAAATGAGGACGAGGACAAAGACAAAGGCTCGGTGTCCTTTCAGCCGGCATTAATGAGTATCTTCCACGTGCAAGGGAGACTGTTATGGGAGTGCTGTTATGGATACTGGAGGAAAGGATAATTCAAAAAATTTTTCTTTTTTGAGATTTTATTTATTTGTTTTTAGAAAAAGGGAGGAAGAAAGAGAGGGAGAGAAACATCAATGTGTGGTTGCCTCTCATGTGTCCTCAAATGGGAACCTGGCCCACCACCCAGGCATGTGCCCTTGACTGGGAATTGAACTGGCGACCCTTTGGTTTGCAGGCCGGCACTCAATCCACTGAGCTACACCAGCGGGGTGAAACTGTAATTTTTTAAATAGAAAAAATAAAGATCAGCTTATAAGGATTTGCTAAAAGTAAATTTTCTGGAGGAATCCTTAGAGAAACTCAGGATAAGTTCTTAACTTTTCTGGCTGCTTTGAATAAATACAATGGTCAGGGCAAGATCTCATCTGCTGTTACTCTGAAATTCACTAGTTTTGTCTCCTTTTTCACTGCATCCACCCATATTACTCTGTAGATTAAAATGAATATGATTTACTAAGTATAGCACTCTCAGACATGTTTCTTATTTAAAAAATATTTTTGTTTTATTTTTTAAAACAAAAGAATTCCTTTTGGAGCCACCTAAAGCCATATATCAGGAGCACATTTCCTGACACGTGGTTCCAGGGCCTGTGGCAACCAGGCTGAGTCACCACCGGGATGCACCCTCGTCCTGGGGACCCGTCAGGGACTGCAGTGCTTCTGTGGCTCCCAGGAAACAGTGTTTACGCACCGCTTAGGGGACTCAGTTTAAAGCAGATAAGTGCTATGTCTGAGAAAAATGAATATTTATGGAACTCTTACTATACACTGTGCTAAGCACTTTTAAAAAATTACTTAGCCCTCATTATAACCTACCAAACATTCTTGATTTTCTAATTTGACTTAGGGGGAACAGCCCAAAAGAGGCTCAGGAACTGCCTGGGGGTTGTACGATGAGGAGCCAGCTGCAGCTGTGGCCACACTGTGCCCCCACCCCCACCCCACAGCGCCCCATCACCCCCCACCCCTGGGCTGGGGCCAGAGAGGGTCAGAGAGCAATCAGGAGTGTGTGGAGCCCTCCTCCTCAAGGAAAACTTCCACGGTCGCTTACTGGTGTCTTTTTCTGTTTTTTTAAACAGAAGAAAGAATCCTCGAAGAAAACACAAGATGAAGAAATAAAACAAATAGGGGAAGAGAGAACCAAGCAGATTTACAAGAGCTGGAAAGAGGATTCGGAGTGGCAGGCATCCTGTGAGTACCCGGAGGCCTCTGGAAGCCGACTGGCTCACACAATAAAATGGCCAATCTAGAAAGCACTTAAAGAGGTCATTGAGAGATCGGTGTTCTAACACTACATTATCCCTGAAAGGCTGAAGACCACTTGTTGAATAGCAGAAAGGTTCTCAATTCATCTTGTACCATCAAAATTATGATGTGTTTATTTAATAGAATGGTATATAGCTATAAAAAAAACCCCAACATGTTTCCAAAGAGTAATTTTATGACCTTGGCATATGTTTATATCTTTTTAGCTTGGAAAAGAAAAAAAACATTATAAAATAGTATGCAAATCCTCTCTATTTTCAAATGTCTAAGTATATAGAGGAAAAGAAGTGGAAGGCTATTAACATGTTAACACTCAAGAGGTGGGACTCAAGATTACTTCCTCGAGTTCTTGTCATTCTGTAATTTCCTACATGTTCAACAGTGAATACATCTTAACTTGGTAATCAGGAGAGCACAGGAATCACAGGCTGGATACCTCAGCGTCCCTCCCATGCCCGTGGCCAGCCCTGACCCTTTTTCAATTAGCATTGTCAGAGATAAACCCCTGGGGGAATGTCAGCGCAGGTGAAGGCAGAGCAGGGCCTGCTCCAGGATGCTAGGTAAGTTCAAGTTTGACTCGGGACTAGCATTTCCATCTGTCTCAGACAGAGAAGCCTCACTGCCAGATCAGCCCTTGAGGCTGCTTGGAGGAGAGAAGTGGCAATGTTTGCAAGATGTTGAGAATCTGAAATTGATCTTCAGTTCCATTACAAGGAACACCATTAAAATGATAGTTTTTGTGAAATGAAAATATTTGCAAAATCCAATCACTTTTCTGCAGTGAAATCCTAGCATAATAGAAATCTTTGGCATCTCTTTGAAGTCACACATACCAGGATTTGACTAATGATGCCTGAAGTGTAAATACACTCAAGAAAAATTATCCTTACATCCTGCATTAGAGGCTTTTAATACTTTGTTGCTAAAACAAAAGCAAAATAAAACAATAAACTCTATTTACAAAGCAACATGAAGAGGCAGCCTCAGGGTACTTTCCCCTGTACAGACCCGTTCTGATCATCAGGGTTGAGGATCACTTTACTTCTCCGTCTGACAGGCTGATTTAGAGTGGGTTCAGCTGACAGTGGGCTCTGACATGGGGGCCTCACTGCCTGGTCCCCCCCACCTGCCTGCACAGCCTGAGCCTGTGAACAGTTCCCCAGACAGCCTGATCTTCATCGCTCCTGACTCAGGGCAGGTGACATCCTGAACTCCCGTTGGTGAGAAGGAGTGACCATCACCTCTTATTATTCAAAGACCCGCCCCCCTCGCCCACACCCCACACCCTGGAATCCTCACTCAGGCCGTGACTCCTTACTTAGTCTTCCTTACTGCAGGGAAGTCTCCAACAAATGGTTCTACATTTCTGTCCTGTCCCCTCTTCCTCCTCTTCCTTCTCCCTCCCTCTCAGAAAGTACCCAGACTCCCATCTAAAGAGGAATTCTGCCGTGAACGCTGGGCTCTGGTAAATGTGCACGCCCTAATTATCAAAATAACAGGCATCAAGAGCGATTGTTCATTATTATCAGCAGATGCCAGAATCTGTTCTCCAGGTGCGGTGCCGATTCTTCTAACCGTCTCTGGGGGCCTTCCTCAAACCTTTTGTTTCTCTAGTGCGAAAATCCAAAGCAGCTGATGAGAAGAGACGCTCCTTGGCTAAACAAGCACGGGAAGACTACAAGAGGTTATCCCAAAAAGCAAGAAGCAGCGAGGGACTGCAGAGCCCCCCAAGTGTTCCACAGAAACCAAAGAGACCCCCGCTTCCACCCAAGCCTAAGTTCCTACACCCAGCGGAGTACCCCCGAAAGCCTTTAAGGTAAGGACCCGCATGGATGGCTTCGAGAGCAAGGGTCGAATGAGCTGAGTGAGGGCGAGCTATATGAGACAGGCAGTGGGAAGTGGAGACGGGCTGGGTGGCTAAATTCAGCCTCTCCACTAGGTCTGTCTTCCTGAGCCGCTTGGTCTGGCACTCACCCCCTTCTTAGTAGAACATCCGCAGCAGTGCACCTCAATACTTAACACGCCTGGTGACTCAGTGAGTGCGCACCCCATGTTCGCTGGCTTCCTGCGCCACCAGCCTAACCCCACCTGGTGGCAGCGGGTGAGCCAACGAAGGGGCAGCAGGAGACAACCGGGGTTCCCTGATTCCCAGTGTGGCTCGTAGTGGGGTCACTGGGAACATCACAGCAGGAAACTAAGGGCTTGCTGACTTCCATGTCATGGGGGGGCTACATTTCCATGGCTCAGGACTAAAGGCTTGGTGGCAGTTCTTCCTCATGTGTCGAGGAGTTGGAAATGTTCCTTTCTGCAGGAACTCTTTGGTTGTTGACAGTGGTGCTTTTGCCTCCTGGTTGTGGAAGAACTAGGCAGAACAATTCCTAAGGACAAAGCACCATAACGTTCCAGCAGAACCCAATTATCAAATTATTCTCCCCTGGTTATCGGTATGTGATTGTTTCATATTCTAATATGTGGAAAGGCAATATATAAAATAACCAGGAGAAATGAAATATTGACTGAGTGAAACAGAACTGTCTATGAAGGCCTGCCTTCTGAAATAAAAACTAAGAATAGTTCTCTGTTATGAGGATGGAGAAATAAAAACAAACAAAAATCTCCCCTCTGCTCGGAATCAGTAGTTACCTTCAAGGTTTTTCCTAACGGGGATGATGACCTCAGAGGAAATGTGAAGGTGGACCTTTTCCTCTGCTGTGATTACTTCTGCTTACTCAGTGGAAAGGTTCCACTTTGGGACTAAATGACCATGTTCCACAGAGGGACAGTTTGGGGCATGACTTTTCTCCCACAGACAACAAAACAAGGAAGGTCATCAGGAAGCAGGGCTCCTTGTGGTTTTGTGGCCACGCACCCGAGTCTGTCTGGGAGCAGTGGCCCCGGGCCCCAGCAGGTCCAGGGAGGTACCTGCTCCTGTTCCCCGGGCCTTTCCGAGGGTGGGGGAGCAACTCATGCCCTCACCTGTGCTGTTTTTTAGAGCACAGTGTCTGTCTGCGATGGACAACAATGAAGGTGGCCTTCACTAAGGGCGATTCTTGTTTTAAGCTGTGCTCATTGTACTCATTCTTTCGACCTAAGACGCTTGCATTAAGTGCTTCATGTGAGGCAGTCAGACGGGCTGGCTTTAAGGCTGATGCTTTAAACAGTGATGACCGAGGTTACATAGGGTCCAGCCCAGCAAAACACAGAGGCCAGCTGTCCCGGGAGTTTTCCCTCGGTCTCCAAAGACTTCTCAAGGAAAAAAATACCTAATTTGAAAACTAGTGGAAAAAATTTACCATGTGATCTCACATGTGTGTAGTGCCTGCTCCCCAGGAAAGTTAAATATTATAGGCTATTTTCTCCAAAATGCTATTTATGTATGTATATGCATAGGTACATATGTAAATGTCCATCTGACATATATGTCACATGTAACTCAGGGTAGCATATGTACCATAAAAAGCATAAAGAGTCGTAATGTTAATTTCATGACAGGACATTCCAGTATCTCATCCACACTCGTTTTTACACTGAATTATACTCAGAATAGCGAGCTTTTCATGGGGATTGGGTATGTGTTTGTCACATTGCAATGGTACTTTTTGTAATGGAAACTGACTTACATTCCAGAACTTAAGTTCTGCTACCAAATAGCTTTCCAAAGGCTTCTGCTGCCTGTGTCTTTTTCTTACCAATCTCAAAACACTCTTCCTTCTTTAACTTTATATTTCTCAGACTGTCTTTTAACAGAACTAAACCTCTTCAAAGTGTGGGAGAGAAGAAACCAAGTCAGGGAGGTGAGTGGATAGAGAAAGAAGAGAAAAGGTTAGGGAAGAAGTTTATTTTGTTGCATTTGATTTGTTGTGTTTGCAAGAACGTGTTCTCCAGGAAAATAGTGCTGGGGAGTGTATGTCACTTTTTAATGCTTATTTTCTCAAGCTTTAATTGGTAGTTAATGGAGCTTCTAATTCACACTAAAAATAAATTAAAATCTATGCATTAACTCAGCAGTAGCTTAAAAGACTATCCCTGTAGGGTTGGAAGGACAAATGACAGACTTACGTTCCTTCCTGTTTTCTGCTCGTGAGGGGCGGTGGCAGTGCATGTGTCCAACCTCCCATCAGCTCGGCCCATGTAATTAGATGTTCTGATGTTTATAGTTCTCATCTCTCTCTCTCTCTCCTCTCTCTCTCTCTCTCTCTCTAAGGCAAAAGTGGTTTTACAGTTGTTAGATGGAAAACAATACAATAATTACTAACTACTAACACAAGAATAAACTGTGCTTCACATACTCACAACTAGAAACCTACTTTTGCCCCACCCTGTGCATATATATACACACATATGTAATTTTTGAAGGCATTGTTTTCAAAACAGTTAAATCTAACTTGATAAATGGTCTCACGAATGACAGAAATCAGGGAGTGATGAGGACAGGCTCCGGCTGTGCCCCAGAGGACATCATCCGATGGTTTAAGGAGGAGCAGCTGCCTCTGCGAGCAGGCTACGAGAAAGCGTCGGACACCATCGCTCCCTGGTTCCACGGTGAGTGCAGAGGGCCCTCCACTGGAGCCACTTCCGATGGCGGATAGACTGCTGATCCACCAGGAGGGCACAAAGAATAAAGGCTGCCTTTTATGTGGGCTGCCCAAGGAGAGTCTTTGCAGTTATTTTCGTAATGCAGATTTTCAAAGGCTTCTCTGTGAGCTCCATTTCCATGACATTTTTAGAAAAAGCAATCAGCAGCCGCGGTCGCTGCATGCACGGTGGGTTAATGTATCACCACAAATAAAACACCACCGGGTGGGTGGGGAAAGCAGTGCCAGGGCTCCCAACTGCACACCTTCTGACCCTGGGCCCCTGAGGGAGTCAGACCTGGCCACTGGGCATGGGGTGTGGGGTGGGGCTGGGCATCAGTGCAGCAGTCACAGAGTAGGCTGTCCAATACCTCGTTGAGCGACCTTGAGCAAATCATCTTCTTTCTCTGCAGCAAATCAACTTGCCTGAGCCTCATTAGCCTCATCTGTTAAATGTAGGAGTTGAACTTGTGATCTTTAACTTAAAAAATTCTGTGTTTTTGATCCAGTCCGTAGTGAAGGCTGCAAGATGGGTTTGTGGGAGCCTGAGCAGATATTAGCTAATAACTACACAGTCTGGCACAAATAATGCCCCTTTTTTAAATTACAAAATCTTTTATTACCAAATCATAAGCATGTAATTCTGTAACAACAAAATCACACTCAAGCACACCAAATGACATTTTCGGTGAAATGTTAAAACTAAAACTATAAATTATTACTCCCATATTATTACCCTACCAACCACATTCAAGCAGGCCTTACTTCTGCTGGACCCTGTATTTCTTTATTTGACCCTAGAAACTTGATTAATTCAAGCCCCCATGCACCCACCTCACATTTCACTGAGCTCTCAGTTTCTTGGACTTTAAGAAAATGAAATGGTTTTGTTTTTTGTTTTGCCTCAGTTGGCTTCTTAGGTCTGTGGTTACATTGGATTCATTAGGTTACTGTGGCTGTAAGTTCAACACAAGTGCTTTAAGCACAAATAAAGCTCCCTCACAGGGCACACTTGTGCTGAAGGATACCTTGGTTTGAGTGGTGTTGAGGCTTCTCTCTTTTAGGTAGTGTCGTCTCACACATACATAGATCTGCAGAATAAGATCTCAGTCATAATACCTGGCAGACTCTTCTAAAAAGAACACGGTTATTTGTGGTAGGCTTTCTGCGAAAGGGATGCTTTTGCAGTTGGAACCGGTCCACAGAACTGCCTGGTCATCCTGGAAAATGCCTGTTCTTTGGCAATCCAGGCTTTTGTAAGTGTCCGCTTTCAGGGGTGGTCCCCTCCTTCCTAGGACCAGGTTGTAAACCTCCTTCCTTCCCATTTTGCTTAAAGACGCTGGAAGGAAGGGTGACGATAGCGTCAAAAGACAAAGAGAATGCAGGTCAATGGCACGTTCATCATGGCGATTATGGCTTGTCTCATAGCCTCCTTTTTTATTTCCCTTTTTAAGATAAGAACTGAACTGAGGAAAGCAGCCACTTTGTCATCCCTGTGTCATTGGGCAGGAGATGCTCTCATCCCCAAGGACGAGGGTGGTGGTTTAACAGCAGAGAGTGAGAAATTAAAAATGTCAGTTGGCATTATTAAAAATCCTGGTGCTTGAACACGCAGTTCAATTTGAAACTGTTGCCTAAAGCTAAGAGAAGACAGTTGGATTAAAGTTCCAGCTGGAACTTGGGTTTGAAAAGAAGATCCTTGAGTTTTACATAGAAAAACTTACTAACTGCTTTGTTGTTGGTTTATTTTCACCTATACAAATATTTATCATAGGCCTAAGCAAAATAAATGACATACAGGAAAACAGCATAATAGATACACAACCATATAGTCAATATAAATAATTGTTTTCAGTTTTAGGGAGATGAATTTCACATATTTCTATGATAAAGAGGGATCACATCTTATCTTTTTGAAGTATAATTATTTATGTATCAGGAACCCTGCTTTGAAACATTGGGATGGAAGCTCTTCTCTACTGGTTTACCATCTTGCTTTCATTGTCATAAATTTGCCTTCTGCAATTACTGCTTTGGTCACCTGACTTTTCGCCTCCCAGAGGTTCATCCTTGCACCCTTCTCTCCCAGTTAGCTGTGCTAAGGATGGGCATAGATCAGGGGATGAGGGAAATGAAGGTACTGGGTCGAGGGCTTGTGGGGCTGCGTGGGAGGTGGCCTGCTGTCAGTTAAAAGAAGGAACAGAGGAGAATGAGGAAACTTAGGGAAGGAAAGGAGAGAAGAGGGCAGACAATGAGCTCGTTTGGGATGAGTCTGAAGTGCTGTTAGGACAGTCGAGTGGAAATATCCACTTGACAATCGGATCAATGGGTCTGTGTTAAAGGTAACAGGTTGGTGTTGTCAGCACATGATTCAAAGCCTGAGGGGGTGAGATTTTCCAGGAGTGAGTGGAGAAGAATGACAGGAGAAGACCCAGGACAAAAGCCGGGGGAGCCCCAGCATCCAGTGCGATGGCAGAGAGCCCAGAGCTCTGTCCCAGGTCTCCTGTCCCTCCTGTACGCCAAACGGAGCACCGTGATGTACAGCTTGGAGATATCCTGCCATGGGGACATGCTCTGTGATGCCCCTTTTGTAATCAGGGAAATAGGTATTGCCTTTGAACTCCTAGATGTAGGAGCTTGATGAAGAAACCCATGTGCAAGAGAGATCCTGAAATGCAAGGCTAAACTCTGCTTCCTGCACATCTTTTCATGATCTCAGGCAAATCTAGATAAGGGAAGTCTCCCCACATCCACTTCTCCCTCAGCGAGGCCACGGGGCCCAACTTTCACTGGACTTTTGGTCCCACTGGTTACCTGGGGCGTGTGGGAGAGCACACTGGAAAGATGCTCAAGTTCTTTTTCATGCTTCGTTCGTTTTTTTTGTTTTTGTTTTTTTTTTTTGCACCAAAGCACATTTCTAGCTTTTACGTGCATCAGTTTGGTCTTGTGACCCAGGTGGAATAATGCAGAGACTTGCTGGCCATCTCTTGGCTGCTTCCCGCAGCGGGTCGGAAATCAGGGACCTCATTCCAGGCCATGTACACTCACTCTGTCCCTGGGCACCTTCCCACCTGCCCCGTGGGAAGGACCTCCCTGCGTGTCCCGAGCTCGGCTTACTGCACTGTGCAACCCCCGGGGTGCGAAGGGCACGTGGGAGCCCCCACAGTCTTGGCAGAAGGCTTTGTGAAGGAATTTGGTAGTTGGCATTTTTTTTTATTTTTTAAGTATTCTATTTTGAATTGTTAAATAAATTCCCCATACAGGACATGTACCTTAAAAAACAACAGCAACAACAACAAAAAACTAGATTAGTCCTATGTACTTATAATTATTTCTATTTTGAATGGGATCTTTAAAACTAACTCATAGTTATTGGTGTAAGGAAATTATGTTTTTTAATAAGATTTTATTATTTATTTTTAGAGAGATGGGAAGGGAGAGAGAATGAGAGGGAGAGAAACATCGATTGGTTGCCTCTCATACATACCCCTAACTGGGGACTGAACCTGCAACCCAGATAGATACCTCGACTGGGAATTGAACCATTGACCTTTTGCTTTGTAGAACAATGCCTAACCAACTGAGCCACACTGGTCCGAGCAGGAAATCATGTTTTCATATATTTATCTTGAATCCAGAAACACGGAAGTCTGATAGTAATTCTCATTGTCTGTCAGAGGATTCTGGCGGAGCTGTCATTTTTTGAGATGTTAATATGTGCCAAGCATTATAGTGAGCACTTTAAAGGAGATCATTTTTATTCCCACTTTACAGAGTAAGAACCTAGGAACTAAGGTGTTAAGTTCTTCTCCAGGCTTCTACCACTAGTGGTGGCCTAGCCCATGCTCAGGCCCAGATCTGTTTGACTGCAAGGCCACAGCGTTTCTGTCAGGCCTCTCGGGGTCTGCTTATCCTCCCCCGTGCCAAAGAAGCATGTCCCCGGGGCCTGTCACAGGGCCCACCTGCTCTCCGGGCGGGTGAGAGCTGTGCTGTCCAATACGGCAGCCATTAGCCATGTGTAGCTCTTTATGTCGAAATGAACTAAAATTCAATAAAATAAAAGTTAGGTCCCCCAGTCACACTGGCCACATTCCAGGGGCTCCATGGCCACATGTGGCCACTGGCCACCCCCTGGGCCGCAAAGACCACATTCCAGCAGCACAGAAAATCCTGCGAATGGCACTGCTCTAGGGGGTGCTGGGCGTCAGGGAGAGAGAGGGGTGGAGCGCTTCTCTCTGCTCCGCCTCAGCCCCAGTGGTAGGAGCCTCTGAGCAGGTGTTCTGCTCTCGGGAGCTTTAGCCCAGCTGCCCCGGCCGCGGGCTCTTCAGAGCCAGGAGCGGTCCGCTAAACCCTCGTGTGGAGAGACCCCTGCGTTGTTCTGGATGCCGTAGTTCTGCCACGTCCCACCTGGATTCAGCTCTACAACAGACTGTTGCTGGGAGACCTGGTTCATTTCAGAAACCGGTGAAGGAAGCCCTGGCCAGAGGGCTCGGTGGGTTGGAGCATCGTCCCATACACCAAAAGGCTACGGGTCTGATGCCCAGTCAGGGTGCGGCTGATCTGTATTTCTCTTTCACATCGATGTTTCTCTCTCCCCACAACCCCCTCCCCCCATGTTCCTGGGTGAAGATAAAGAAAGGGTAAAAATAACCAATGAAGTGAAAAAGCTTTTTTAAATTACCCCTGCTCACCATCACAGAAATCCTCCTATGACCTCAGATGGGTTGGGCTTCTGTATGGAGGGCACTGGTCAGAAGGAGGTGGCCTGGCGGTGTCACGGCCTTTATGGCTGGATGAGGACCCCTGCTTCAGGATTCTTGGTTGTGCGTGGGCGAGTCAGGGTGTTAAAAACACTGTAAGGGGACTGCTCGAGTCCACATGACTAGTATCCGACACTGGATTTGGTTTGGCATTCAAGGCCTCCCTTCCCGGGCAGACAGAGCTCAGGGCTGGGCAGTGATCCGGAACGCACCCCCTGCCCTTGCTGCAGTCATGACAAATCTCACATCGGTGTGTATCACCAGATGCGCCAAGAGACTGTGCTTTTCAGGAATAAGAATCCTGTTTAAAGCAGAAGGAACAAAGGCTAGTTCCAATAGCATGTACCTTCCGAACCTGCCATCGGTACCGCTGTGTGCAAGGAGTCTCCATGAGGGCCTCTGCTTTGCCACGGAATCACTTTATTGTGTTCTGTTGTCTCTGGACATTAGACAGCGCCAAGGTCTGCACACAATGGGCGATAATTACAGTCGGAGAGGCTTCAAGCATTTGGTTTACAGCTACTGTTTGACCTGCTTTTAAGGGCAATTTGACCTTAACCCAGGCTTGGTTATAATTTCCCAGAAGAGCTTTCAGTTTAGGGGTCCAAACCTGTGTGGACAACATCCAGACATTGTAAGTTACAACATCTGCCCCATCTGTTGAAGTCACTTGGGGTTTCAGAGTTAGCCTGTCGGTGAGTCTGGGAGGGGAAAGAACTCTTCCTCCAGAGTGCCACGTCCCCTCCACTCGCAGGAGGTGCAGGATCTGGGAAAGCCATCCCTGCTTCCATGCAGTCAGATCCAGGGTCTTCCCACCTCGGTCCTGCGCAGTCCCTGGGCAGCCCGGTTCCCCGCTGCCTCGTTGCAGCTCACGGCAGGCCTCTGCAGCTTATCAGTGGGGCCAGGCGTGTTTAGAAAGGTAAAGCAGGCGGACGGAAGCAGCACTCCAGACCTGTCCGAGCTTGTGCAGGCATCATTTAAGCACCTAATGCGGACAGTGCCTCCGCTGACCCAAGAGACTCACTTGGCATCTGTAGTGTCTGTGGTTTCCAGTGGCTCAGTCCTACTGGGGACAGGACAGGGAGGCGACCAGATGTGCTGGCCATCACCCACCGGCATCACTAACCATGCCGGGCACAAACTCGCTGGAGCTGGGGCCCTGGGACGAGGGGCCTTCCTCTTCTGTTTCAAGGACATTCCCTACCTGTGAGTGGACAGTCAGGGCACGGTGTGCCACAGCTTTTCATCGCTCACAGCTCTTACCCCTGCCTCTCACTGGGGCCAAGCCTCGTGAACTGCAACTCTGAGGTCGGGCCCCCTGAAGGGTGCAGGGCAGGGACGGAACCAGAAGGGCTGGTGGGTTGGTCTCAGCTGGGAAACAACAGGTGGTTTTTTAAATCCTGCCTTTATTAAAGGCCTCCTTACAAAAACAAGAAAGTAAAACTGTTTTTATTTTATGCTTTTCTATGGATAATTAGAGTTCAGTCCTCAATTAACTTTACCCACGACAAGACAGAAGGGCTGTGATTGCCTTTTCATTAGGTGGTTTTTTCCCCTAATGATACGAGACGGAGTATCAGCCGCAGAACAGGAGGAGACAAGTGCTTCTGTCGGCTGAGATGGAAAAGAACACTAGGGCAGGGTCCCCAACCCATGGCCGTGAACTGGGCTGGGCTGTGGCCTGCCAGGAACCAGACCGCACAGCAGGAGGCGAGCAGTGAGCACGCTCTGCCCGCGTTACTGCCTGAGCTCTGCCTCCTGTCTCCCTCCCACCCCCACCCAGTGTGTGGAAGAACTGTCTTCCACTGAACCGGCCCCTGGTGTCAGAAAGGTTGGGGGGTTGGGGACAGCTGCACTAAGGGAACGCTGCTCCTCCCTCCCAAACCAGAGCTCACTGAGCAATTCGACCTCACCCTCTTCCCAAGATATGTTTGTGTGCTTTCTGTATGTTTGAACATCCCCGATTCATCTGAAGAACAACTATAGGAGTAAGAAGGGAAACTGGACTATGAGCCACACCTCCTGAGTTTGAACTAATCAGAGAAGAGTCTGGTCTGAATTAGTGTGAATTCATGAGGCATCTAAACTATATATATGAAAATGTATACATATATAAAGACATACACATATATATGGAGATACACACACACACATACACACACACGTGCTGTCCCCGGGTATATATCCATGTGTCTGTCTCTTTAGATATATGAAGAGTTTCATTCCTTTGAGCATGTGTGAACACACACACACAGGACCAGGGAATGGTCCTGTTTGGTCGAGAACAGTGGTTCTCAAGCCGGTGTGTGTGTTCTCAACACACGCGCACACACACACAGGGTCTGGCACAAATAGTGCCCCTTTTTATTACAAAATTATAAGCATGTAATTCTGTAACATCACAATATCACACTTAAGCACACCATTTGATATTTTAGGTGAATTTTTTAAAATTAAACTATAAATTATTACACCCATATTATTACCCCACCAGCCACACTCAAGCAGGCGTATGGTTCTGCTGGACTATTTGTATATATACATATACACACATATATATGTATTTGTGTACACACATATATGTGTGTATACGTGCATATACATGTGTGTGCATGTATTTCCTTTATGCAAATGACCATCATTTAGGAGCAGCTGCAGCGGAGGGCACTCTGTGGACCTGGGTCTGGCCCGGAAGTGTCGCTGACTCGCTGACTCGGGGAGCGGGGTTTCTCATTCCAGCGCTGCTGACATTTGGGTTGGGGAATGGATTGTAGTGAAAAGCCCTCCCGTGCACTCGGGGATGTCCAGCAGTGTCCCTGGCCTCTACATACTGGGTGCCAGCAGGAGACACACACACCCCTGCCCACGACAACCAGAAAGGTCTCTCGGGAATTTACAGACATCGCCGTGCTTGAGAACCACTGTTCTAGACCAAACAGGACCATTCCCTGGGACACAGGGTCCTCATCAGCGCACTGAGGAGAGCATCTTTAAGCCCCTCCCAGGGTGACTGTCAAGGGTCCTGCCAGCCTCAGAAGCCACCTAAGCCCTGTGTCACTATAACTGGGTATATAAGTGGAAATTTGTTCTCCCTGTTAAACATTTACGCTCTTATTTATACTCTCCATAGGCTGATGTAACCTGCCCTGCCCAGTTTCCAAATTCCAGAAGATGAATATTTTACTGTAGTTCTTAGATGCCCAAAATGGACTTAAAAGCATGCTTATTTTTACCAAACTTTATCCGCACAGGGGTGTTTCACAGAGGAGAGTTTTGGACACGATTTGGCTGAAATACCTGCTTTTCTCGCCCACAGGAATCCTCTCATTGAAGAGAGCAAATGAACTTCTGAGCACGTGCGTGCCGGGCAGCTTTCTGATCCGTGTCAGCGAAAGGATCAGAGGCTATGCGCTGTCCTACCTGTCCCAGGACGGCTGTAAGCACTTCCTCATCGACGCCTCCACCGACTCCTACAGCTTCCTGGGTGTGGACCAGCTTCAGCATGCCACCCTGGCGGAGCTGGTGGAGTACCACAAGGTGAGACGGTGACACACGGGCCTCAGCTGCCCTGTGAATCACTGCTCTGCGGCAACTCGGACAATGAAAGGCAATTACCAGAAAAATGATTGAGATGAGTAATGCAAGATTAGTCTTTGATAATTCCTCCTGATAATCAGGATTTGTAATTGCATGGCCTTTATCTTTGAGCCTAGTTCCTCCTCAAGTACTCAGGGAGACCCCACTTGGGCAGAAGACATAGGAGAGGCTAGAAAACGTGTGCTTCCCCTGATCACATCTGGGGACATGCCTAAGCTAGAATTCGAGGGAGGGAAAGAGAGTACAGGGCAGTGTGCGGATGAGAAAAATCCCTTTTTAAATTGTCATAAACCATAGCACTTTGTGTAGACCAAGGGTCGGCAGGAAGGTCTGTACTCTGAGAAGGTGGGAGAGGCACACCACCCTTGTTTATTCTGTCCTAACACCCGGCCCAGCCTGACCTGTGCCTTCGGATTCACAGGAAGAACCCATCACCTCCCTGGGGAAGGAGCTCCTCCTGTACCCCTGTGGCCAGCAGGACCAGCCCCCCGACTACGTAGAGCTCTTTGAGTGACAGCCCCCAACATGTCACCCTCCAACCTCCAGCTGGGCATTCCTCCAGAGAGACACCGCTGAAACGGATGTTTGCGTGTGAAGGCGAAATGACCCTGTGGCAGAGCCAGTACTGACCAACAGACAGTGTCCTTGGAGTCCTACGGAAATCTGTCTTCTGCACGAATGCTGGCATCTCATGTTAAGGGGAAGTTAGTTACCTGGGTACCAGATGCACTCTAAAAGTGAAGGGAGACTCCCCACTTCTGTGACCACCCAGCATGAGGGCTACCACCTTAATGATGCACATGAGATAAAGTGAACAAAGAAGACATTGAAAGCTCTCCAGAATGAAGGAGTTCTTTCAAAACCAGAGGCTGGTGGGAACTATTTCATGGCATGGACACTCTCTTGGTGTCGTCTCAGGAGGTCTCACGGTCCTGTTTATGTGAAGTTACATTCTGGCTTCAGGGAGCTAGCAAAAAAAACTCTTTATTGATGGCTGGTGACTCCCCACACACACGTCAGTTATTGGGCATGTGGGAGCCAGGATGTAAGAGACATAGCATAACACAGTTGGGAATGTAAATTGAATGCATTTTAAAATATAGGGTGGGAGGCTTAACATGTGCAACACCGCTGTGGACCAGGAGGGCGAGCAGACATCTGTGAGAGCACTTCCGCAGTCAGGATGGCCCAGACCGCGCCTGCCCGTGTACTTGGGCTCTACCCAGGAGCACACCAAGGATGGACATGCGCATGTGAGGTGCTACTTACTGGGGGTGACTGACAGAAGAGTGAGAGGTGTGGACACTACTTCTTGCAGGTTGAACTGTGCGCCCCAAAAGATATGTTGAAGGCCTAGCCTCCATACCTATGAATGTAGCCTTATTGGGACACAAGGTCTTTGCAGATGGAATCTAGTTAGGATGAGGCCATACCGAATTAGGGTGGCCCCCATAATCAGTAACTGGCATCGTTATATGGAAAGAGGGATTTGGAAACAGACACACGCATGAGATGACAGAGCAGAGACTGGAGTGATACAGTTACAAGGCAGGACTGCCAAGGATCAGCGGCGACCACGAGGAGCTAGGAGAGCAGAGCTGCATGGGACAGCCTCTCCCAGGGCCCTAAAGGGAACATCGCCCTGCCGACACCTTGACTTGCAGACTCGAGCCTCTATAACTATGGGAGAATAAGTTTCTGTTGTTTTAAGCCAGTGAGTTTCTGGTAGTGTTACCGCAGCCCTAGGAAACCAATGCAGAAGTTATACAATTACGGAACCTGATGCATATCCCCTACCCTTTGTTGATATACAGTCTGCCCTCATAATGAAGGAGAAATGGGAGAGGAGAAGGACTTTCCTCTGGCTCTATTCAGCTCGGGGACGCAGCGTTGCTCAGTCAGGAGTCTTCCGCTCCACCGCACCCTGCCTCCAGCCTCAACACGTGGATGGCCTGACCGAGGAGGCTCGGAGCCACGAGAGCATCCTTCCGGGAAGGTGGAGACTTACTCATACTTTAGGCCTAACCCTCTGTGGCAGCGTTGTTCTAAAGGAAGCAGGAGGTGGTAGCAACTTGCTCGGGAGGTTGTTGGTTGTGTAAAGCATTCACTGACAGTGTAAAATGTGCCCTGAAAAGAGGGCAGGGTGTGTGTCTGTGCATAAATATGTATGAGCATGCATGGGTAGGTATGTGTACTTGAATGGGAAAGTGTTTACACATGGATAGTCATGAGTTTCTTGAACTGTTCAGTGTGGTTTCTACAGTCTGAGGGACGCTCTCAGACAATCATCTAAGAGAACCCGTCTCCAGCTCGTTTCTGTGACGCCACAGTCATGGCACAGAACTGCAGAGGCCACACGGGGCTGGGAGTCAGGAACCTCCCCGAACCCCAGTTTTCACGTCTAATAAAATAAGGTATTTTAACTAGGTGATCTTTGCTACTTCCTTTCAGCTATGAAATCTTCTAGTTCTGGAACAAATAGAGAAATGCCCTGTAGTCACTAATAACTGTGAAGACATGGAAGAATCCAGCATCACCCTCCACCTAAAATTATTTTTGGAGGAAATAAGTGCAGTCAGATCCAACTATAACTACACTAAGGGACATCCTACTGGGGGAAGATTTAGAAAACAGGAAGTGACCCGACTGAGTTCTGCACTATTTTATCCTGCCGGTTATTGACACTCAGAAGAATAGATTGTCCACTGTTTGATGATATGATATGATGGTGAGAAGTAATACCTGAAACTGAGGGAAGAAGAATACTTTATAGCATTCAGAAATTGATCACAACTAAATGGGGTTGAGGAGACCTGAGTTCTCGTCCCAGCTCCGCTGGCAGACTCAGTCTCCCTGTGTCTGACCCTAGGTATGGCCCAAGGGGAGGCTGCCCACACCCAGTCCTGGTCCCCTCCTACTGCTGCCTCAACCAGCCCAGCACCCAGGCCTGCCTGCCCAAGGTTTCTTGGCTGGGATGTTTGCCCCCATGTCACGTCAGGTACCCCAACCCCTGGTACTACCTCTTCAGGACTGTGAATCCGGTTGAAATTCCTCTCCCCCGACTCCCTCAATGAGATTCTGGAATCTCCCCTTCACTCATCGCAGCCTCTCTGGTTGCTGCCTCCCCACAGCCAGACCCACACTACCTGTAAGGCCCCTGGTACTGGTCCCCTGCCCTACAGCGCTGTAGTGGAATGCACCAGAAAGGGACTTTGTCCCTCAGTGTCACCAGCAGTGCTAAGCAATGCAAGGGAGTGTTAGTTGGCTCAAATCGTACACTGAGAAGAGGAAAAACACAGGGACAGTTAAGAAGAAAAAGGACCAAGACAAAGGAGAAAAAGAAAAAATGGGGCATGCACAGGCCACTAAAAATATCTCAGGCGCATTGACAGGAGAAATTGCCTATCAGAGCTAACGCTTAGGATTAACCACCCCATCCTCCACAGTCAAACAACACAGCACCTTATCTCTTGGGGCTGAGTGGGGGGCGTGGTGGAGCTCCAGGGCAGGCTTCCCAGCCAGGCCCCTCCCTACCGTTCCCGACAACCCATGTGCTGCAGGTGTGGTGTGCTTGGCTCTGAGTGAGGCTAAAATAATTAGAATAAGTAATTATATACATTTTTCCTTCAGTCTTTCTTTGAATGCAACTTGAGGGTTTTACAGTTTGTTTTTAAATTTTTTAAAATTTTTACTTATTTTTCTTAACCTCTTCAAATGGGGTTTAACATCCTAGCAGGCCAGGTGATACTTATTGTTCTCACCCTTTATCCACAAATTGGAAGGTGGTTTGGTGGTGGGCCGGTGGTGGGGTTAGAACCTATGGGAGTAATGGCGGCGGGACTCGATTTTCCGCTCATTGCAAGTTGAGGTATCTGACTCTCAGGTGGATGAAGAGTCAGTCCAGTTTACCAAGCATCCCATCTGGGGACTGCCTGCAGCTACAGGCCACCGACACAGTCAGCTGCCAGGGCAAGGACATTGGGTGAGCTCTGGGCAGAGGCCACAGAAGGCGGCCAGGCCCTCCCTGGACCTCTGGGTCGCTGTGGGCAGCGTTGGCCCTGAGGCACACAGCACTGACTGCTCTGCCCTGACTCCCCCCTGCACCCCATTCCCTAAGAAGAGTGGACAAGGCAGGCACAGCCCACAGGTACCAGGGCTCACTACTCCACGGGGAGTCTGTGCTGGACCAGCCACGCAGGGACATTCTGAAAGGCACCTCTGCCGAGAGAATATTTTCTGGGTTGAAACCAACACCCAAAGCCCCCAACCATCTGGCATAAAACCCCATAGACTTTGGCGGCAACAGTAAAGCACTGAGCCCGCCAAGAAAAGCAGCTTTGAGTTCAAATGTGAAGCTAATCATAATACGGATCACACAAACTGCGGGTTATTCCATGGGTGTGGGCCGTAAAACACACCCATCCAAGGGGCTGCCCGAGGGCTTTATCAATTCTCAGAAACAATGTCAGGTCTTTTCCAAAGAGCAAGTACTCCCACCTGCCCTCCCCTCCTACTGACTGCAGTCTTTACGTCTAGCACCTTGGGCTTCGTAGGCTTCGTGTGAGCGCTAGCTGGCAGGTAATTACGCAGCAGCTGGAGGGAGGCGCGGCCAGCTGTCCCTGGATCACTGCGTTAACAAGTCTTCGTTCACTGTCAGGATTCTGTAGGCGAGGCTGGTGAGTGGAGAACCCTTGGGAAACCCAGGCTCTAGAGGACAGGCCCTGGACTCACCCCAGGCCAAAGCTTCCCCCACCCCCACCCCCGAGACCTTCAAGCCCTCTGGAGCTGGGACCATGGTGCAGGTCACTTTCTGGTTGGGCCTTAGGGCGAGTTCTCTACCCTGTCTCAGCCTTGGTTTTCTGCACCTGTAAAATGGGAGTAATGACTTTCCCTACCTCAGAAGGTTGGCATTATGTCCGGAAGGTGCCTGGCTGTGCTCCTCACTTCAAAATCCTGTAATGCCCAGGGGATCATCAGCTCCAAATACTGAGCGTTGAATTTAGAGGATAATGAATATTATCCATTATGTTTCTATTTTATGCTGCTAGTAACCATTCTTCAGATAGACTGAAACTGTTTTCAGAATAATAGCAAGAAAGGACAGCAACACATACACGTTGGGTTCGGGATCTGTGATGTGTGACCCACAGTGGCCCTCTGATTGCAGCCAAGCGGGACTGGGCATGGGAATTGGTATCGACTAACACCAGCTGAACATGGGTACCTGCCATGTGTCTGATGTGTCCTCAGGCCATCATGCATGTTTACTCACTTAATCTTCACTATAACCACATGACATGGACGTGACTGCATCCATCACCCTGGACGAGGAAATGGGCATGGAGACACTGAGTGGCTGGTTTAAGGTCGTACAGGTTGCAGGTGAAAGAGGTGGAGTTGGTACCCAGCAGTCCAGTTGGGGAAGCCACAATACTACCACACCGAACAGAACCCTCGTAAGGTCAGATAGCATCAGAAGACTCTCCGAACCCTTAAAACAGTGCCCTGTGACATTTTTCTTACCTGTTGAAAATTCCTAGGCCTGATCCTCTCTTCATCCCAATGTGTGTGGAGAGAAGCAAGTTGGCCACGTTCACGAATACAAAGGAGGGGCCACAAAGTAGATGATTGGAGGCAGTGGTGTGGGGGTATGTAGTTAACAACTGGCTGGGGTGGGGGGTGAGGGGCGAGGTTCAGGGGGAGTCCTGATGTGTAGGTAGCCTTCCCTAATTGCCAACTTCCAGGGCATAAATACTCCCACTACGGTCGACTTCCAGCTCCCAGCCTGCCATTCCCGAGCGAGGAGTGGGAAGAGATGCTAACAATCAGCTCTCCTGAGGTCGAGTAAGCACTCTGAGCATGGAGGAGACCTGAGGCTGAGATCAGAGGCCCTGGCTCCAGTGATTTGACGGGGGCCAGTTACCAGGTGATTTATATCCAGCATCGGGTTGGCCAAAAGCCCATCACATTTTTTCCATAGGATGGCTATAAGTGGTGCTTAGTTGTTTTTAACTCCATTTGAAAGGACCTCGTTAGAATTGTACTGTGACAGCTGTCATATCAGTGTGCATTTAAAAAAACTATCAAAATTGGTGAATTTTTGTGCAGCCATTTTAATATTGAAGATGGAAGAAGATACACAGCACTTTCGGCATATTATGCTTTATTAATTCAAGAAGGGTAAAAATGCAATGAAACACAGGAAAAAGATCTGTGCAGTGCATGGAGAAGCTGCTGTGACTGATTGAATGTGTCAAAAGTGGTTTTTGAAGTTTCTTGGTACTATTGACATTTTGGCCAAATAATTCTCTGCTGTGGGGCTGTCTTATGCACTGGAAGATGTTTAGCAGCACCCCTGGCCTCTGCCCACTAGAAGCCAATAGCGGGAGACAGCCAACATACTCAAAATACCACCATGAATAAAGTTACTAGTGAAAATGAAAACTGTGTCTTCTGTCTTATGGAAAACACCAAACAGACTTTTTGGCCAACCCAGGAAGAACAGAGGGAGGGTGCAGAGGGTGGGAAGGGCCCCGACACAAACCCAGGACTCGGGGCTTCCTTGGCAGCATCCTACCTTCCGAATGCGACTGGGTCCTTCAAGCCACAGGCTCAATACTGCGTTCCTTTGCTGTCTCAGGTTAAATTCCAAGCCCCTAATTACAACGTTTCAGGGGAACCTTTGCTAGTCCTTCTCTTGGGGAAGGACTAGGGAGAGGTCCCCCTGTGGACTGCACGTCCCCACAAAATGTAGGTGTTCCATCTCCAGTGTGATGGTGTTGGAGGTGGGGCCTTCTGGAGGCAATTAGGTCATGAGGGTGGAGCCCCATGATGGGATTCATGTTGTTTTTAAGAACAGGAGGAGGGCTCTCGGCCACGTGAGGACATTGGGAGAAGGGCCCTTACCAGACCCCGTATCTGCTGGTGCCTTGACCTTGGACTTCCCAGCTTCCAAACCGTGGGAAATCAACCCTCGTTGTGTGCACCGGTGCACTCATTGCCATTTTGGGTGAAGCAGCCCAAACTAAGACAGATTCCCTCTTGTCTCTGTGTTAAGAGGGCTCCTGCCTTTTGATAAAACTGTCTTACCTGACTAAGCTTTAAAAAGAGAAAAATAGTTTAATATCAGGCTGTTTCCTCTTTTCTGCTACCTTCAGCAACTTTAAAACCCAATTACATTGTCTCGGGCATCTGTGATGCGCAATTTAAACCAGCACCAACAGCCAGTCAGCCCACCTGGGGGACGCTCCAGCCCACCTGGCCCTGGGGTCAAACACTTGCTGCCGGCCGCCAGCTTCGCTGGAAACGCAGCCTCCTGACTCTGGGAGAACGCGGCAGGTGTGCGGGTCAGTCCCACAAAGCTGTCAGAGCCACTGGGGAGACAGGCCAGACTCGTGGCCCGATGTTCCAATATCACCAGTGTGTATAAAAACACAAAACACAATTAGAGTCGAAAGGGGGCTTGGAAATCATTTCTCAACTTCTTCTAATAAAAAGAACGAATAAATTGTGTTAACAGCCAGGTTTATCACTTTACGGTTCTCTCCTCCCTCTAGACCAGCGATTTTCAACCTTCCTCATCTCACGGTGCACATAACCTAATTATTAAAATTGTGCAGCACACCAAAAAATTACATCTTTTGACCACCTGACCAAAAAAAAAATAGGTATAATTTTGGTTCATTCACCCTGGATGGCTATGGTTGTGTTGGCTGTTGTCATTTTTTTATTTGACAGTCTAAGGCAGCGGTCCCCGACCGTTGTGGCACCAGGGACTGTTTTCACGGAAGACAATTTTTCCAGGGACGGGGGTGAGGAGGATGGTTTGGGGAGGATTCAAGTGCATTGCATTCCAGCTCACCTCCTGCTGTGGGGCCTGGTTCCTCACAGGCCACAGACCGGTACTGGTCCGTGGCCCAGAGATTGGGGACCCCTGATCGAGGAGAAAAGAGGCCAGTGCCCCTGACGAAGTAGTTAGGTGTTGCATGTTTTACAAATGCTTGCAGCACACTGATTAAAAATCGCTGCTCTTGATCGGGTAGTTCTCAACCAGGGGTGGTTTGGCCTTCCTGGGACGTTGGACAGCGATGCGCTGGTTGTCAGCCCGGGCGAGAGACACCTGGGTGTCTAAGCGGCAAGAGGCCAGGGATGCTGCCAGATGCCCTGTGGTGCCCAGGCAGCCCCACGGCGAAGAACGGGTTAGCCCCAGGTGGCCACAGTGCCCAGGCTGGGAAACCCTGGTCTGTGCACAAAGAAACTCTTCTGAACACTAAAGACATGGCATCCTTGCTCCAGGAGGAAGTCATATCTACAAATCATATTTTATTAGCTGTCCGATGCCACCTTCCATCCATGTCCTATGTTTTCATTAAATTTTATGAACTACCAGCACACATCAATACAATGCATTTTTTTATAACACTCCAACAGCTTGAATGTTCTTGAAGCTTTTAAACAAGGACTGGACTGTGAGCAAACAGAAGACAAGGAATCAGATAATTAGCTCATGCATCTGGTGCTGGCTAATAAATAAATAATTTTCACATGAATGTAGAAACCACTCAATGTTAACTCCATTTATTTTTTTAAATAGTTGGAAACTGTGATAAAATGCAATTTTCAGAAGCGTCTTGGTGACTGAGTAGAACTGCTTCATTTAAAAAACAACAAAGTTATATCCCCCTGGACTGGGGCGAGTGAACGTGTAGCAAAATCTTCCTTCCCACGAGAGACTCCGGCAGATGAAGTGATCTTTCACAAATACATTTTCCTGCCATTCTTCTCGTGGCAGCCAGATGCCAGGAAGAGCACCCTGCTTGGAAAAGAGATTGTTTGGTTCACACGGTATTTACTTTGGTTTGTTTAAACAAGTAAGGAAGCGAGCCCCAGTTCTCCTGAGGACAAATTGTGTGTTCTTGCTTTTGAATAAATCAAGGTACCACCAGTTTGAAAGAGTCTCCTTTTCTGTCAAGATAAAAAAAAAGTATACTTTTGTTTCCCTCCAGTGTTCAGTGGCTCCTCTTCAGCTTCGCTCATGGCGTAAAGTGTGTGTGTGTCTTTGATCCGGCAGTGGCCCCGCACACACCCTCCCCACCACGAAGGTCCGACACCAGGGCCTGACAGGGCCGGCGCTCGCTCGGCCTCGCCTCGGGGACGGGCATCAACCGCTGCTGGGAACGGGAAGCTCCCACGATGCACCCAAAAGTATCTTCTTAAAGAACATAAAAGTGTATGCTAACTTGTGCTCTCTGAATAAGGCTTGGGAATCGGTCGTTAAATAAGCAAAACATAACTCTTGAGCAAAAGGAAAGTGCGTTTTTAAAATAAAATTAACAAATGGGCATAGTTAAAACTACAACAGAAAAGATGAGCAGATTATTTTTGGTTAATCTTGGGGGGAAAGGACACACAGTTATTCTTTCTTGTCTAGTCCATTTGATTTTTCTTAGTATACTCACAAGAGCGCAGTGAGGCTATCTTTGAATTTTCACGTAGTCTTCTCGGCTGTCTTCTGATTTTTAACATTCCTAGACACTACAGCCCTACTGATATAATCATTCAGATGGGGAGAAATCTGTTTGCCTTTCATTCTAATGGATTTTCTCAAAACTGGCTGTAATTCATGAATATTTCAATGAGCATAAAAAACACAGATCTCACTGTGCTGCAAACACAATCAAAACGTCCACATCATCAAGCTTCTAGTCTCACAATCACTCTCCTTTGTCAGACGCTGAGGAGGATGCGTTGGGGCTGCTGTTGCAGGCAATGTGTGTGTGTGGCGGGGTGTCAGTTCCTGCTGCATGAAACCACGTAGGCAGAAACTGGAGGCTCTCTCCTCCCGTCTGTTACTCATCAGCCAAATTCCTTCTTGCCTTTTACGAAAATCTTTTCCTCGTTGCGGCCACTTGTCAGGTTAATTGCAAAAGGAAAAATGAAACATCTCCCCAGACGTATCCCTGGGAGTTCATGTTTTTTTGCTGCTTGTCTTCTGTTTCTGTTTGCGAAGGTGAGCCTCTATCTCGTGCCGGAAGACCAGCATGCCCAGCTGCCCATGGGAGGCCTCGTTCATGGCCTTGGACTGCATGCACATCTTGTACTGCTCGGGGGTCAGCTCGTCCACACAGCGCTTCTCGTGCCAGAGGTGAAAGAGCCCCCGCACGGGCGTCCGCACCACTATGAGATTGCTGTGGAGGTACTTGCGATACAGGTGCACGTCCTCTCCGCCCCAGCCTTTGATGTCCAAATCGAACCCACCTGCAGGGAGAGAACACACCGCTAAGTCATGCCGGGCCCCCATCTCCTGGTCTATAGTTGCTTTCCCAAGCAGCACAAGCACAGAACTTTGTGGGAAGAGAGGAAGAGTTTAGGGGAGATGCATCTCACTGCCCCTCCAAATTATGCATGTCCATCCGAGTCAGAGAACTGAGAATTCTCAAACAGAGAGGAGCTTCATGGTGGCCAGCACCAAGTCCTGGAGATGAACAAGACTGCAGACAGAACCCCCAGCATTTGCCTGCCTTGAAGAGGTATCAGCAATGCTAATGAATGATCAGCCTCTGATTAAGGGCTGCAGCAGCCTCCGACCTTCAACCCAAAACCCCCAAATGGCAATGCACGCGCTTCTCTCTGAAGGTGGCCTGCTCCTGCCGTTTCAAATGGGACAGACCAGAGGCGAGCGGCAGCATCTCAGTGTGAAGGGAAACTGCATCCCACAGAAACACTCTTCCTTTTGGGGACTAGAGTGGTCCCCAAAAGCTGTGTATCCACTACAAGATGCTAAAATGACTCACGTTAAAGGGCCAGCCTCAGTCAGTTCTGAAGCTCAACTCAGAAAATCTTGTTTCACATGGGAATGGACTCCTTCTTGATGTGAGTTTGGTCCCCTAAACTCTCACCTTTGTAAATTGAGAGGCCCCAGGTTGTTTCTTAACCTAAAGCCCACCATGCCTCAAGTAGAACAAAAAAAAACCGGCCTCTTTTTTTGTCATTGTTCCTTTCTCACCTGGGGACTTATCCAGCTCTCACAAGAGAGAGTGAAGTGATTGCCCACACCTTTCCTCAGTCAGCACATAGCCCTTCTGTCCCCCACAGCCCCCACGCCATGCCGCTCGGATTGGGGCCACCCCTGGATAGAAGGGGGCTCACCAAGCATAGGGAAATCGCCCCCAACCCTGGGCCAGGTGTACCAGTGACCTGTGGCCCCTGAAGTGTGTGTGAGCAAAGACCATAATGAGTCAAGATCTGGAATTTGAGTCTCTGTTCTCTTCCACTTTACCTGCCTTGGACTTTGGTTTCTTTACCCTGAAATGAAGTGGATGTCATCCCCCAAAGAGACAGCAACATAAGGGGCAGTGTTCGGTTAGCTGTAACCGGTTCATGCTCCCACCGGTCTCGCCCAGCTTATCGAATAGATGGCGTGCAAATACGTGGCACTTGTGAGTTAACACAGATTGCAAGGAATGACTGTGGGACAGGTGTGACCCAAAGATTCAATCTGAGACCTACTGAGAGAGAGCACCCTTCCCAGCCCACCATTGCCATGTTTTTCAATTACAGCTATGCCCTATCTTTAGGGAGAAAAATGTGTTACAAATCCAAATTTGATAAACATACATCATCACAACATAACATTTCCCTGTGCACAGAGCAAGAAAACAATTTCTTCAAATGGAAATCTCCTTTAGAAAAATGTTTTAAATATGTCTTTTTAGGACATTGATTTGCACCAAATCATTTAGGATCATTTCTTAGAGAAATCAGAGAACACCTGTGGTTCACTGCCAGTTACCTGAGGGCGCCCACCACGCGGAAACCGGCATCCTGGGCTCTGTGCTTCTCACAGGACCTGACTTCACGTAGTTTGGGTTTTTTTTTTTCCTTTCTAACTGGTGATTTCTGTGAGCATTCAGTGTCTCCGTAGACCCCCTCACCTCTGAACAAACACCCGGGCTGCTCAGAGACACTGATCTCAGAAAGAGAAGCTTCCGGCCTTGGGCCGAAGTGGGGCAGACAGGGACAGAGGAGCAGGCTCTGGGAGGCCCGTGGGGGCTGGGTGGAGGTGGGCATCTCCACACTGGGGAGGACGGGACCTCCCCAGCTCCAGCCTGGCCTGGGGGCCACCCAGAGCCCCAGCCCGGGCAAGGCTCTGACCTGTGTGTCCACTCCTGATCATGTGCCATCCATGGTTCCAGTCCCTTCAGGGGCACGCGAGCTCGCACCCCCTTAAGGGAAGAGTGTGGAATCTCCAGGGGGCCAGCAGGCTCTGCTCTCATCCCGGCTGAGCCACTCCCTTGCTGTGCGGTCCCTCTGCCTCTGAGAGCCTTGGTGCCCTCAGCTGAGCGTGAGGGCCTTCCCCGTCCGTGCCCTGCCAACCTGTGTGTGTGGGTGTGTACGCAGTGACAGCACACTCAGTCGGAGACTCAGAGACCGGGGACATCAGAGAGGCAGCAGAGAGAAATTAGGATCTTTTCTGGTGTGTGATTTCCCAAAACTCCCCATGTCACCCTATTTTTCAATGGACCCCCTAGGGTGAAGGCCCAGGAAGTTCTACATGGTGGGGCGCGGGGGCCAGACTGGGCTGGAACTGGGCGGCACTGGGGGAACTGTTTGAAGCCGCCTTTACTCCTCAGATATGAGCCTTATCTGGGATGGCTGACAGGTGCTGATGGAGCTTAGAGGGGCGAAAGTGCCACACACTCGCAGGCCCCCTCCTGGTCCAGCCCCAAGCCCATAACAAGAGGAATGAACTTGAACGGCCTTTCCTTAAGAAGTGGCACCACCTGTGCCCCTAGACTCCTTGGAAGTGGACTGATTCCCTTGCGGCCATTCCCTGGCCTCTAGGTGGCAGTAGAGATGCAGACTTGTTGCAAGTTGGTCTGTCTTACCTATATTGATGAAGTCTGACCGATACTGACATGTCATCCCAAATCCAAAGTCTCTCCAAAATCCAGTTTCCTTCTTTATGACCTGCAAGGAAAACACTGTCATGTGAGGGGGAAGGACAGAGTGGATAACAGGAAAGAGAGATCATTCACAAACCCGTCTAAGTAACGTTCCGCAGGGAGCCCATCCCAGCCCTGACAAACAGCCACAGCTCCGTGTGGGAAATGCAGATGGAGTCGGTGCCTTTGGACGGTAAGGAACAGCCAGCTCACCAGTTCCAAAACAGGGCCTTGTGATTTTTGGCACCTCCGGCTAGGATGTGCCTAGGGCACAGGCATGAAAATACACATTTACACACACACACACACACACACACACACACACACATACACACTCAAAAACCAACCAGAGAGCAAGGTTTTGGGCGGCGCCATGGAAAAGCCACCTACGTGTCTGGCCCGACACCAGTGCCAGTGAGAATTGGAGGCCTAGGCCCCTCACACAGAGCTGGGCAGGGAGCCAGCAAAGGGCTCAGGAAGTTGAGCAAAGGGAGAGAGAACAGCTCGGAATTGAGCTGTGCTGGCACAGCGCTCGCGCAGGGCTCCCTTGGGGAAGGAAAGGGAAACCCGAGACTCGGGCGTGTGACTCCAGCTCTGCTCTTCTGCTGGAGGAAAAGGGCACTGAGAGTCCAGCTCATGAAGAAAGACTGTCCATTCATCTTTCAACTGGTTTAAAATCAAACCGCTCCAGAGTCCTTGTGCGCGTGTGCCCGGGCTGCAGGACTGCGAGAGGCCGTTCAAGCAGCGACTGTCTTTAAAAAGCGAGGCCTGGCCCTGCCCCATCTCTGACTTCATGAGTGAATTTCCAGTGTGCTCGCTGAAGCTGCAAGACTTTGAAAACACTGCTCTCTATATTTTTGGCTGAGGTAATTCTGGGAATGGTTTTGGGACCTATTTTAATAGTTACTTTTCATGATTCCTTTTCGTAATTAACACAGGTGACTCCATGGAAGGAAGCTCCCTGGGGGAGAGGGGAGGGGTGGCTGCGGCAGGGCCCTTCCCCTTGGATTTCTGCATTTTCCATCTGGGACAGCTGGCACTATGCTGCCCCCAGCTAATGAGAAACAGTGTGTGTCTGGTCCCAGCTTGGCCGCTGGCTGGCTTTTTTGCCTCAGGCAGGTCCCGCGCTTCCCCGAGCCCCGAGTTCCTTTCCTGTGCCTAAGGAAGTTCAGCTAAATCCGCCCGAAGGCCTCTTCCAGCTCCGAGATCCAAACGGTTATCCTATAACTGCCGTTTCACCTCCCTGAAGTTTCCCGCTACCCATCCCACAGGCTAAACTGTATTCGACCAATGGCTTGCAGGAGGGTTGATGAACTTGAGAACAACCTTATTTTCACCCCAACGTGGCAGACACCAGCGGGAGTGTGCATCAGGACCTCCTGAGGAACTCAAGACCCAAAGAGGCTTGCTGGCTGGTGTGGCCGCTGACACACGCTCTCCAGCTCTTCCTCAGGACAGAGGCCTGTTGCACCACACCTCCAAGTGACAAGGCAATTTCATTAGTATCAACTGGAAAGATTTTTCAGGGCAGGAAAGTCTGGGAAAGTTTCCAGTGAGTCGGTTTTTAAACATGGTTCTCTTTCGTCCCTGTCATAGCAGGGACACTATTGCTGCTGCAGCTAATGGCTCAATAGCCTTCCCGCCTGCCGGGACACAGCCACGCCCTCTAAGGCTGTGGATGAAAATGGAGCCACAGGGAAATGCCAGGATCCAAACTTCAAATTTGGCTGAAGTCTGTATGAAACGTGAAAGAGAAAGCTCCAAACGGAGAAAACAGTGGGTCAGGGCTTGGGAAGAGAGATCAGGACGATGGCAAGATGTGGGTGGCCTTCCCAGGCCCGGGGTGAGCAGGCACAGAGCCTTGCCAGCAGAACAAAGGGAAGAGCTACCCTCAGCTGGGGGCAGCGTGACAGAAACAAATGGGTCTGTGAGCAGGGGAATGAGCAATATGAATAATTATTAACATTGGCTTTAAGCTGGCAGGCCATGAAAAGCCACTGTCTGAGGAGATCGTTGGAATTCAGCCCTTGGTGGGGCCGAGGTGAAAGCGCCCACAGCACCGAACGTCAGGGCAAGACGAGTGCACTTACTAGGGTTCATTTACTGGAGCGTCTCCACTGGAGCGGCGCCCCCAGCGAGCAGCCTAGCTGGGAGTGAGTGCTCTCAAGTGCACGGCGGATCAAGGCACGCTCCCACTTAAAGTCCTGCAGTGGTTTTAATTGCACTCTCGCTCATGCAATTAGGACAAAATCTGAGAGGAAAGCTCCAGCCTGCAAAGGCCCCATGTGACCTGGACCCTGCCTGCCTTGCCTATCTCGTGTGCCCCTTACACACAGACCCCTTCTGTTTTGCTCCTCGAACACACCCGGCCCACAGGTCTCCACAGCTGGGCACTTGCAGACCCTGTCCCCGGGTCACCCTGTCCTGCTCACGCCTGGGCTCTCTGCTCCAAAGTCATTGCTCAGAGTCGTCATCCTGGCCCTCCCAGCCACTGTCAACCCTTCCCACTCGTATCACCCTCTACACCATCCCTGGTCTATTTTCTCTATAAGCCAGGCTCTCTGGATGCATCTGTTTCTGTTAGCTTCACCCACCACCACAGGTGAAGGCAAGCTCAGGGCCCCAGTCTCGTTCACGGCTGTGTCTGCAGCCCCCGGGTCACTGTCTCGCACATATGAGGCACTCAGTAAATACAGTAACTCGTCACTGAACATCATGGATAGGTTCTGCGACCTCAAACGAAACAACATATAACAAAACCAGTTTTACCACACCTGATTGATATAAGCAGGAGTTGAGTCCCTACGGCATCTCATCAACGTTATACAGAAACAACATTGAACAAAACGACGTTATTTAAGGATCTGCTGTACTGCTCCAGTGAATGAATGAGGGGCAGTCCTAGGGCAGAGACAACATCAGGCCAGTGGGAGCAGACGTGGTTCACGCCAGGAATCTTGTCAGGGAGTGAGTGGTTCAGCGAAGGCCCAGGAATTCCAGTGGGAAAATGCTCAGAACTGGGTGGCTCTGGACACAGACAAAGACATTTCCACCTTCTTGGGGTCTAAGCAGAGGGCTTAACTTTGTAGAACTTTTGCCCCAAGCATAAGGAGCTCCACTGTTCTGGACCAGCACTGAAAAGAGACACACCAATGATGTCTGGAGAAAGAAATCCTAACATAAAGATTCGACTTTAAAAGAGAAACATGGCGCCCTGACTGGTGTGGCTCAGTTGGTTCGGCGTCATCCTGCAAAGCAAAAGGTCTCTGGTCCAACTCCTGGTCAGGGCACATGTCTGGGTTGTGGGTTTGACCCCCAATTGGGGTGCATAAGAGAGGCAACTAACTGATCAATGTTTCGCACTTCGATGTTTCTCTCCTTGTCTTTCTCCCTCCCTTCCCTTCTCTCTAAAAATAAATAAAAGTTTTTTAAAAAATAAAATAGAAACATCTCCTTCTTCCAACCTGAATTTCCTGATCTGTTTTCAAGTATTATCCTCATTTTTTAAAATGTCTTTCCAGGGCTGGCCTCCTCTGAACTCTCTGAGGCACTCCTTCCTCTCCCCACCTTGACCTTGGCAGAGCACTGCAGGTCATGAATACACCAAAAGGACAGTTGTTGAGCCTGCTCTCCCAGACCCGCAGCTCTGGGGGTGATTTATGTGACGGGGGCAATTATTTTCTGTTAGGACCAAAACAAGCACGAATCAGCATCTCTCCCCAAAGACATGGGAAGCGACCACCCTGCAGCCACAGGGGGTGGGAGCTGGGAGCCAGCAGCGCCTGTCAGGTTCACGGTGCTGACTTGGACCACTGCCCGTGAAGCAGTCTGGGCCCTAAAATAAAATAAGTAACGCACAGTCAGGCAAAGTAGTTCCCCTAAATCAAAGAGAGTCTCCCAAGAACCGAATTGGGCCTGAGCAGCCTCATGTTCGCCAGAAGCTCCCTGGGTGTGTGTGCAGCCCGTACGGCCCCCAGGCCCCGTGCTGAGAAGGCTTCAGGCCCCATTCAGTGCTCTGATGTTGCCACCCTGACATTCCTAGTAATTCCTGAACACAGGTCCTGCCCCTTCATCGAGCACTGGGCCCAGCCCCACCCGTGAGCAGCAGACACCTTGAGCTTCAGGGTCTTCTGTGGCTGGGTCGGGTGCCCCTGACCCCACACTATCCCTTCCTCATCATCGAGACCTGGGGGCCTTCGTGAGCACACTGTGCCAGATTCTAGGGGCTAGGTGTGATGGGCATGCGCCCCATGGGTAAGGCACGGTGCCATGATGGTTTCTGTTTCTTGGGAAATAAAGTATTCTGGAGCCACAGCTTTCAAAGAACTGGTGTAAGAATGGACTCAAGTGCCATCTCCTCCAAGACTTGTGCTAAACCACATTTTCGACAAGTCATCTTCACAAAAAGAAGTGTCTTCTGGAGCGTATGGTGCTGGACAGGGAATGGTCCGGGTTCCCCCTGTTCTGGGGGTCTGTAACCGAAGGCCAGACTCCATGCTCTCCTGGAAGCACTCTGAGGCCACAAGGTAAGTCCACTCGGCACCCTCGCCTGTCTCTGTCACACGGTGGCCCATGCGTTCCCGGTCATGCCACTCAGCGGTCTGGGCAGGAGACTTCTGCCTCAAGCTTCACGTTTCTCATCTGGAAATGAGCACGATAACTCCCTTCGCCTTACTGAGTGCCACGTGAGGTAACGCAGGCTCAGCACTGGCTTATGAAAGCCTGCAGAGGCTGCATCTATTACTGTTGCTCGTGGTACTCAGTGTCTGCTTCCCAAATGAAGAAAAACAGACTCTGCCCGGGCAGCAATTCTTGTGGATTTAAACTGAAATGCAATTTAGTGGCAAATACTTCTCGGAGGCAAGCAGAGAGGTCAGGGTCTAATCAGAAGGAGGGTGAGGACAAAGGCCGACACACCCTCCGTGCACTGAACAGAGTGACACAGAGTCACCGGAGGTGAATGCTGGGTGGATGCACGGCAGACAGAGATGCTGGGCACCGTGAGCAGCAGTGGTGTGGAGACGGCCCTGTGGCAGAAGGAGACCAGGGGACACTGGGCAGGGCGCACACCCGGCCGAGTCTATTGAGCCCGGACCCTGAGCCGGGCGCTGGGGTTTGTGAACACCTTCTCTGGGATGGGCTTTGGAGTCAGTTTCCAGTAGAGAGTTGATCCCAACAAGGAATCAGGGTTGCAGTGCCAGCCAAGATGCCGCAAATTTCTTGCCAGCTCTGTGTGGAGGGACATGGCATCGGTGGCCTGAAACAGGCCTCAGTGGGGGCACTGACACCACGGGAAGAGGCGGACGCTGTGAGTGAGGGCTTGCCACCCCTGTCAGAGAGCAGGTTGTTAAACATTCCCAGCACACCACTGGCTTTATGCCATGCCAGATTTTTTACTGGAATTATCTGCATTTTGGAAACAGCTCTGGCAGCGGGTGAAGGAAAGACTGGTGTGGAAGAGGGAAGGGGTGTGGAAGAGGGAAGGGGTGTGGAGACAGAAGCGGTGAGAGGCTGCCGCCGTGGCCCCAGCCAGCACTGACAAGGCTTGAACCAGAAAAGTGAATGTTAGTAATTGTTGAAATTACAGTCATTCTTTCTCAGAGAGCTGTTTCTACATTGAAGCATCAGCAAGTTTCATTTCAGGTGTAAACTCTTCCTGCATTTCCAATGAAACATTAGTATAAAATCCCATGATTTCACTTACTATGTATTACTACTGGTCTGTACTCAAAAGTACAGAAACAAGTAGTCTGAACACACACAGAAGTCCTAAGTTTGGTTTCTTGCTTTTGTCTGCAGACAAAATATTATCAAATGACAGTGGCAACAGTCAGGAGAGGTAATAACTAGCACATTGACTATGAGGTCATATCTGCAGGGCTGCTGGGAAAAAAAAAGTCTTTCATTTGCATTAATAAGAAACTTTTGTTACAGCGATATGCAGGGTCTATGTTATCCCTCCACCTTTGGTACTGAAGCATTCCAGGACGTAATGTCGAGACCGTGTAAATACAGCATGTGCATCACATCGTTCTAGACGGAGCCAAAATGAACCCTTAGTAGGAAGTCCTTCCTGAGTTATCCCTCTCTAATTAGTACCTTTATTTTATGTCTTCTTGGCTCCTACACATTCTAGTTCCAGTGTATTAATTTCTGTAGTTTTATGTCTCCCTTGGAATTTTGTCAGGTCATTTCCTTTACATTTAAGCCCTCCTTTAGATCTTAAGCAAATCTATTTCCACTGCACTAGAGTAAGGAAATCCTAGTTTTGGCCTGAGCTCTGCTACTAGCTGGCTGTGCGATCTCGGGCAAGTCAATAAAAAAGAAGAGGGTAGTGGAAGTGCCCAAACAACCACTCTGAGTACACAAAACTCCCCCAGATTTCTGACTCCTTGGCCGGCACCTGGCCCAGCTCTCTAGCCAGCAAGTGCTCCAGAAACGGCTCATCCGGTAATGACCATAATCAATACTTCTCTTTTTCGGATGGAGACCCCTGCAACTCACAGATAGCTGCTGTGTTCCTTGGGACTGAATAGTCATCAATGTTGAACCCCAAAAGATCAGACCTATGTGGTCTGGGGAAGGTCGAAGGTGCATTTAGAAGTAAATCTGAAAGGCTGCAGGACGACTCAGGTTCCGGCTGTGGGCACAGCAGTCTGAGTCCTGGTTCTGGCCTGACCACCAACGCGAGGACCCGAGACTCTGGCTTCACAGCGCCCTGACTCTGGCTCCCCTTGGTCCTGCTGCCCTGCAGGAACCGTAATGACGAAATACAGCTTTTCACTGGGGAAATGAAAAAGAGTCTTTGCAAGCAAGTAAGGTCTTTAGGAGTTTAAAGTTAAAACCTTAATCACACCTGATGTCAAACGTAACACGGCACTTTATCTAAAATCAAAGGAACTTTTATTCTGATTGGTTTAAAGAAAATAAATCCTGTATCCCATTTCCCCCCAAACCCTATTAGAAGCTTAGAACTCTTCCAGAATGGAAATAAGAAGTTTTTTCTGTCTCAATGAGGGTGGATAAAAATTGGTTTTGGGGGGAATGAAAACCTCTTCCTGTGTTTATGTATGAAGTACATATATGTACATAAAGTACATAAACAGACATTCAGCATACCTCTGGTGTTAGAATTTCACTGGGGGAAGGGAAAACTGTATTATTACTGTTCTGCATGGCTTGGGTCCCAAGTGTGGGACAATGCGGGACCACACTGGGACATGAGCCTCGTCCAACCAGAAAGAGCCCACGCTGAAACTTTCTACAACAGGTTGTGACATCAGCTGCCACAGGTTAACTGCAGCGGGGCACAGGAAATGGCTGGAGAAAACAGATTCCGCTACTTGTGGAAGCTTAAACACAGAGTCCACCTTACTAAAGAATCTCATAAGACATATTTTCAGTGAAAAGCAGTTTACTCTCCCATTGCAAACACGCATGCGAGACTGGTCCCTCCCATCACTTTTCATTTTCAGATGGCAGATTTCCTTTCCGCAGCCAAGGAGGTACCCTATAGGAAGAAACGTGGCTTTGCCTCAGCAGGAGACAAAGCAAGGCAACGTCGAAGAGCAGAAGCCCCCAAGCCAGATGCTCCCGAGAGGCAGCCTGAGCTCGCACACAGCTTCAGAGGAGCACAGCGGAGCTCTTGGCAGGAAAAAACCACAGCCCAACCTGGGGAACAACAACAGGAACTTGACTCTCAGAGGGGCACGGCTGTGTGTGGGGCAGAGACTCTTCCAGCGTGTCTCTTCTCCGTGTTGTCTGTCCTGCTTCTCTGCCAAAGGGACTGACGCCACCACCAGCGGAAGCGGCGCAGCTTACAGAGCTCCTCGGTGGCTATGTGGTCCCACTCCACTATCCATCACCTATGCAGCTAAGGTCCTAGCAGAGCAGCCACCTCGCAAGTGACACTGGTGATGCCAATGTCCCCTCTCCCTGCCCCGCCTGGGCACTGCGATGCATAGGAATGATAGCATGATGGGAGGGCGCGGGATCTAGTCCCTGCTCCCCCGCCGACTCGCTCACTGTGTGCTGCAGTGAGCCACCCCTTCCTGGCTTCCGGCTCCCCTCTGTCACATGGGACACGAATCTCACCTTTCTTACCTTGCAGGATTCGGTAATAATAAAGAGAAAATGTGATGCATCCATAATGCAATAATACTAGTTTCCAAAAACCATCAAAGGAAACTAGGAAGGTGTGAAATTACCTTTCTGTAAGGTGCTGTTCCTATTTATTTTCCACTTTTAAATACTGCAAGCACCTTCAATCAACAAGGTGCCGGGAGCAAAGGACAGAACGTCCGCCAATCTTAAAAATTAATACACGAATCAGTCCACAGATTCCCACTTACCTCTGCCATGGTCAGGTGCCCCTGGAAATGAAAGACAAGACACAGAGCCACACAAAGGCACCCGCGGCGCTAGTACTCACCAGCTGCTGTTCTAAGGGTGGGACCGCATCGTGATGGCCGTATATGATGCCGGGATTGTACTGACTGAAAAGGACGGGATAAAATACTTTCCTCCCTGCAAACCAGAAAAAAAAACATTCACTGAAAGCAACAGATCAAACTATTAGGTTTGTTCATGTATATTCAGCGCTCTGAAACACCCTGGATATGTGCATTCACTCTTCCTTCCCCTCCACTCAAGTCCAAAACAGGCCTCAGAAGTTCTGCACCACGTGGACCAGACGCACAGACTCTCAAACAGTTCTGGCCTCTCATCCCAAGAGTGGTATTCAAAATACTGACAGTTGGTGGCATCAACCAATGAGAGTGGGTGTGGAAGTCAGTCCCGATGCCCTCTGCCCTGCCAGGCATGAACCCTTTCGTTGCTGGCTCGTGGGGCAGTCTGAGGGGCTGCCAGAGGCTGCAGTGACTTTGGGCAGCAAAAGTAGAATTAGGGAGCTCAGGGCAGTTACTCTTCACCAGTTTACATGCAGAGTTTCCAGATTTTAACCACCGACGTGCCCATTCCAGTAGTGACCAGCTGAGTATCAGTCTTGTCTATGAGTCAGACTCCATGAAACTTTCACCTTGTGGGGCACTTCTGCTCAGAGCGCTTCCTCCCTTCGTAACTGCCCATGGCTACTCCTTTCCCTGTGGTTTCAGGGCGTTTCTCCAGGTCACGTCCTCCCCAGCCCACTTTCTCCTGTGGACGCCCACCAAAGCCAACCTCGCAGGTGGAAGTGGAAAAGAGGTTAGAAATATGAACTTGGGACAAAGAGTCCCAAAGCTATGGTGGCTGACAGGCCCATGCTGTGACACCAGAGGAGAAATCAAACGAGAGGATTTTCCTTTCTTTTGTCACTGGGGGGGTGGGGGGGGAAGCTGACTCAGAAGCAGGATGCAAAGTGAACTGTGAAGAGGATGGCGTGAGTGTGAGAGGGCTAAGCGCCACCCTGAGGCAGAGGAGGAGCCGACTCCCCAGACCCTTACCTGGCTGTGTGTTCAGCCGACAGGTATTGAGGAATTCAGAGGTGAAGTAGATGTCAACGTCACAGAAAAAGAGAAGGACATTGCTACCCTTCCAGAAGCGGGCTCCAATGTCAAGTCCCTTTCCCCGGGAAAACTCTCCGTTCAGCTGGATGAAGGTGAAGTTCCTGAAGTTGGCAGCTCTAAACAGAAAGACAACAGGGTCACCGTGGGCCCACACTTCCCAGGCCAACGGAATCCCCTGGGAAATGCGTGAGCGTGGCCCATCCACACTTGGCCACGTGTCTTGTGTGACCCTGAGGGCACAGAGACAACCAGGTGGTCACAAAATGCTCCTCACTCATCGGGGACTCACTGGCATTGAGGGTTCCAAGAGCAAACGTCTAGTGAAGTTTCAATACCAACTTGTGTCTTGTTTCTCAGGGATTTTCCCCAACTGAAAACTGCACTGTCATGATTAATATATATGTTTTTTGTGATGGAGGAAACTTGAACCAGTGAAGACCAGGTCACCAAAACCCAGGAAAGTCTCCACGCCTCTGAGTCACCCCAGTGAATCCACTGGGCTGGGGCAATGAAATCCCGCTGGAATGGCCCCGCCTAGCCTCTTCTCATCTCTGTGCAGCTCCAGGATCCAGGCTCCAGGGTCCTGATTCATGCCTCTCCCTAAACAGACTGACACCTGATCCCTTCCCTGCACCCAGGTGAAGCGGCAGAGCAAGCACAGCAAGGAGAACGCCAGACTTGGGTTCGGAAGCCTAGGCCTGCCTCGGACTCGGCTCCCCCGCAGATTAACTCTGAGATCTAGGCAAGCCCATTAATCCCCCGGAACCTCAATTGTCTCATCTGCAAAACAGGAATAATAACACCTTCCCTAATTGTCTCACAAACTTATTAGTCAGATAAGCACCGCCAAGCCTGTAAAGCACAGGGTAAGCTGCCCTCATTGGCACAGACAAGGTTCCCAGGCCTGTGGCCGGCAGGAAGCCCTGAGGTTCCATGTGGCTGTTCTTTCCCAGGAGCAGCAGTGCCTTCTGAAATGTCCTGAGCACAAGTTTCAGGAATTCATTCAGTGCCTAGTGGGACAGGGATTGCCTTCTCCCAGGCAGAACCAGAGAACCACGTTTAGCCCTGCCCTTTCCTGCTGCCATCACCCTTCTCGTCGTACTCTGAGCCCTCCCACCCCACTACCTGGTCTGTCCCCCTCCCCCAACGTCTCTCTAATCTTGATGTAGTCAAAATGAGCACAGAACCCAATTTCCTTTTTTTACGGTTATTTGTGTATTCCAAAGAACTATCTTTGGTAAAGTTCAACACGAATAAAGAGTCATAAACTTTCCGAACGCTACACTGTGCTTGTATCTGGTGATTCAATCAGCGGAACAAGTTCTGCTATCCCTTCCCTGACTTACCATCCTTCAGATCTGGGAGTGAGCTTGGTGTTTTATCTCGGGGATCTGTGGGCCAATCCTGTCTGCGTCTGAGGCCAGCCGGGCTTTTCAGACTTAGACTGAGGAGGCGGGAGGCCTGGCAGTGGGAAGGGCCCTAGTGGATGAGTCAGGAAACCGGGACCCAGGGCCTAGAACCGCGCCCCGGCTGGAGGGTGCTATGCAGATGTTTGTGAATGAACGTGTGAGTAGAGGAGTGACTCCAGTCCTGGCTCTGCCTCTACTCGACTGGGGGCGAGCCCCTTCATTTCACTGGCCCCAGTCTCCTCACTGTAAAATCTGATGGTTACCGAGCCCGAAGGCCCCTTTGCACTCTCAAATTCTATTCTTCTGCATTCTGCACCCTGTCCAGCACGGCTCCACATTTAGATATTTTCCTCCTCTTTCAGGACTTGACCTTCACTCTTCCTCTGGCTGGGGGCCCGCGTTCACATTTTCTGTGAGCAGCCCCGAGGTGCTGCCCCACGGCCCCTTCAGGCCTTGGTCTGGCCCCGGTAATGGACAGCTACCTCCCTGTCTCCAGAACAGGTCAGGTGCGGTACTCCTTGTCTCCCTAGAGGTTTCTGTAGCCCAGCTCCTGAAAGGCGGGCTGAACTCCCTTCTCCCTGCCCTCTTTGTTCCGTTTTATGAAACGTTTTACCTGGATGCTTGTCTGTTCATCTGAGGGAGTCTCTGACCAGGTCTCATAGTTCTCAGCCACCATCCTGTGACTGTCTTTCTCTCACAGCCAGGAGCAGGTCTCTTTCTTTGCTTGTCTCAGGGTTCATGGTCTTTGAGACCCCCCCACCCCAGACCGCAGGGAGAGCCGCAGCTGCTCTGCAGAGCAGGGGGGACTGGCATGCCCACGCACAGGGCAGCAGTGTGGCATCCTCACTCAGGCTGCGTCTGACTCATAGCTCAGGGTCCTCCTGCAAGAGGTCTTCCAGAGGCTACCACTTGAGAGCTCAAATACAGAAATGCTTCATAGCCAAACAACAGCAAGCAATCTTTGCCAAGGGAAGAAGAACACAGCTTCCTAATACTCCTCGTTAAAGGAACTGCCAATTTCCCTCTCTGAACAGTCTACAGCCCATTTTTATACATAGACCAAATATTTACAAAAGTCACCCTGGCTGGTGTGGCTGCTGTGAACCAAAGGGTCACCGGTTCGATTCCCAGTCAGGGTATAGGCCTCAGTTGTGGGCCAGGTCCCCAGCTGGGGGTGCATGAGAGGCAGCCACACATTGACGTTTCTCACCCTCTCTTTCTCCCTCTCTTCCCCCCTCTCTAAAAATACATACATAAAATCTTTAAAAATATATTTACAAAAGTCATGTTGAATACATAAATAAGAATGTGAGGCATCAGAAACCGAGGTAACAGTATCAAAGATATAACAACCTGGAGGCAGTCAACCTTGGAGTGCGTGCTAGAGAGACAGTAAAGGGGTCGTTTGGCGTGTATATATATGCTTATCCAATACATATGTTGATCTGGTTTGTTCTGTCCCCAAACTCTCCAGACCCTGGCTTGAGCTGCTCTGCTCTGCTCTGCTGCAGCAGGAGGCTTGCCTGGCAGTCAAAGGCACAGGGGGTAAGGGGTGGGGAGGACATTGTTCCAGCGTTTGAGGAGAGCTTCACTGGGAAGAACTTTTGAAAAAGTCTTAAAACATCTACCTCTATGCTTCAACGTGTTGCCTTTAGGGAAAGAGAGTTCAGGAAAATGGATGCTGGGGGACCCTCCAACCTCCCTATAAGGATGAGGCAATCCACATTGTGTCTGTGGCAATACCCAATCTACACCTGCATTTTACACCCCATCTCCGGCATGTCTGCGGCACCCAGCTCCGTCCAACCGCTGCCCACACAGATGCCTGTGAGCCCCGAGACCAGTGCATATGTGGCACCAGCACCTTCCCCTCACCCACACAGACCCCACCCAGCCCAGCACTGCCTGACTCCCTCACCCACCCTGAGCAGAGCTGGCCAGCAGGAGCCATGTGTCATACTGCTGGCCTGGCAGCACCCGTATGTGACAGCTCTGTGCTGGAGGCCTAACCAGGGCCCGGGCATCAGTGCACGCAGAGGCGAGGGCGGGGTGGCTGGGGACAGTCATTACCAGCCTGGGAAGCCCCACCAGCCAGTCCAGGGCACTGCAGGAGGCCCAGGGCTAACCTGAAGTTGTCACCCACCTGTGGCTTGAGTGTGGCTGCCAGACTGCCGTGCTGAGCTAGGAGCCCCTCTGCAGATGGGCAATGGCACTAACCTTCCTCCTGACCACTCAACCCCAGCACTTCTGGGGTTGATCAGCCACTAGCTGGGGGAGGCCCTCCCTCTCCTCTCTCGCCATCAGGAAGGGCCTCGGATCATTAACAAGTGCTCTCTACAAAGCAAGAGGGCGGGGCTGGGAACACCAGAAAAAGAATAGGAAGAAGGACTTCACTTCCCCTCTTTCCCAGACAGACAGACTAATACGCCATCAAACACCTGCACCTGGAAGTGGGGCCCCTCCACCCCCTCTGCTCACCTCAAACTCGTCGGCACCAGCTCCAGCTCCCCAACACAGGACGCAACGGGGCAACTAGATTCTGCAAGACAGCTGGGCCCCTTCCCTCAATGCGTCCCACAGCCTCACTCAGAAACACTGCTCGCTGGCCAAGGGACTCGCTCACTAGGCCGGAGCACCCCTGCTCAACGGTGTTTGAAACAGTGTATTAAGAGGCAGCCAAGCCTTTCAAAAGCAAGGACACATTTCAATGCAGAACACTGATGTGCCCCAGCCCGGTCTGGCCACGGTGGGCTTCAAGCCTGTACAGCATGGCTACAGGCTGTAACACCAAGACACAGACCACAGAGGTGCACGGATGGGGACCCTGTGTTGTCCCCTGTCTGTCCCCCTGCCCCCACAGCGGGCAGCCAGGAGATGGCTACTGATGGCATGCACATGGCTGGGACCTCCTGTCTCTACTCAGGGGTCCCTCCACGGACTGTGCTCTCTCCATCCGTTCCAGGGAGAGTCCCACTTCATCTTCAGGGTCCACGTCAGGAGTCACTGCCCCTCACGCCTGCTGCAAACTGAAGCCCCTCTCTGGGCTCCTTGCCCCGTCCTGCCTCTGTCCTCCTGCGCCCCCTGCCTTCTTCTGCCTTTGCTTGGGCAGACATGCACAGGACGACCTAGCTGGCTTCCGACCTTGGAGGACAGGGACTGCTCCCTCAGGTGGGCTCTGGAGAAACCCCGGCACGTAGTCCACCTCCCACGCCAGAGAGAGTCGTGGCCAACAGATTCCAAAGGGCAGGCACAAACCCAGGCTTTTAATATGAAGACAAATACATCGATAACAGAAAAAAGGAGAGCTGAGGAAAAAAGATGCAATCTGGTTTGAAAAATGCAATTCACCCATACAAAGAAATGTAATATTTCGTGGCATGTCTCATAAGGCATGGGCACTTTTTTATGGTAGGACGAGAGCACTGCTTTCTATACGCTGTGATTTCCTATTATAAATCAGAGTCTGCAGTTTCAAAGGCCACATGATTACTCATAATTATCTCTTCTTTTCTTCTTGACTTGTATTATTGGCTGATGAACTCTTGAGCTTCTCTTTCAATTCCTCTCTTTTATGGAGTAAGTCTGGTGTATGGGGACTCCTCCCAGTCATATATAACCATTCTGGCAGAGGTTATAATGACCTGGGAAAGCACAGTGTCTACTAGAGATTTAATTTCTCTAACTGACTTGCATTTCCCAGAACTGCT